ATCTCCAATCCAGTACCCCCAGAAGTATTGATTTGTTATGAGAACATTGAGGACTTTTGCGACTCGGCAGATTACTTTACTACACGGGGGGTTCGAACCCAAGAACTCTCGGACATGGGCCCAGCGCCCTACCGACCAGGCTATCCCGGCAATTTTGTATATTTTCTAAATATTTAACTTACCATGTTTTGCCCATTTGCAACTCATGATAGAGAAGTTAGTGAGAGGCTTATAGCTTTACATTAAAGTCAAGAGTAGCCTTTATATTTATTTAAGTAGTAGTATTGTGTTCTTGACGGGTCATGGACCATTTCCAACCTTCTTTAATTACTTGCATATAACAGATACTGATCTTTGCACCTGCGGCCAACAAGGTTCGCCTGAACATTATCTCACTAGTTGTTCCTACACTGTCTCCTGGCATAGTCGTCAACCTAGCCCAACAAATTTAGAAATTTGGCAGAAAACTTTTATTACAAACAATACTTTAAATAAAAGATTAATAACAGTAATGAACTTCTTAGCGGATAATGACTATCTATTAAAATTTTAATAACTTCCCATTTCACATGTATAATATTTTTTTTATCTAATTTCTTCTTAAATTCCACACTTTCAGTAAAATCTGTTCTTCTTTTTTTAATTTCTAAGATTTTTTTTTTTAAATTTTATGTTATTTAGGCTGGAGTGGAGCTGGACCAGCGGCCAAGTCCTGGGCTATATGGTAAAGGGTTTTCATAACCTAGGTACATGCTCAGGGCTTGGAGGAAAGAAAAAAAAGTAGTATTGTGTTCTTGGATGTCAATCCTGATTTAAAAGTTTAATATAATTATTTTAACAAATAATATTTTTTTTATTCATGTCAAAAATGATTTTTGTCACTATGCGATTCAAAGAGGATTTAGATCATAAACTCGATCTGCCGAATATTTTGCTTTAAGTTTTATATTTATGGAATTTACTGTAAACAACGCTTAAAATCAAGTATCGAAAAAATGTTTTTAATGAAAAATTGATTCGCGCTTTTGTTATAATGTTACACCTCCTTCAGTAGGACAAAAAAAGGGATCGCAAAACAGAGATTATGTAATTTGACAGAGGTTAAAGACTTTTACGATGTGAAAAAATTTAGATTTGCATATGAAAAGCACTTATGAATGATATTGGGAAAGGATTTATTTTCATTTGTTCGCATCTTTGTTTGCATATTTAAACTAATTTCGATAATATAAAATTTTTCGCCCATATTTGAATATGGGTATTCGTAATTTTCTTTAAAATTTTATTCACGAAGAAATATTAGAAACATAAAATGATAAATGTTTATAAGCTAACACTGAAACAATCAGAGTTTGAGATGGCGCGATTACTTTTGCATTAATGAAAGACTCAAAACTCTTATATTTCTGTAAAGTACAAACTACAAAGCAAGAAATTTCTTTTTCTCTGAACTAAGAATAATCTTTCAAATAAAGCGATAAGCAAGAAGAATTGGATGTTTTTTTAAAATTAAGGTAACTGATAGATAAAAAATAAAGTTAAAAAGCATTTTGATAAGAAACAATAGCTCCATATCATCAACTTTTGCATAGATAATGTGCAACTGGAGACAGATATTTCAGAAACAAGAGTGTGCTTATTTATTTAGAGGGGAAAAAAAGATTATTGATTGCGAAACTATTGTCAATGATATAAAAAGGTATACCGAGTTTTATCGCTTCTTCCACAAACTAATAAGAATAAAAACTGACATTTAGTTTTGGTATTAAAGATTTGACATATTTTGTTATATTTGAGGACCATGAATTTTTAAATACTAATCGATGCACTTTATAAAAAGGGTATTTTAATCTAAAATTTCCCCAAATTAATGAGAATATCGCAGGGAATAAGTTGTAAATGAAACAATTAGTGAGAAATATTTTTTATGGAACGGTAAAGGATTGTAGAAGGAAACCGTAGCAATAGACTAGCTGTAAGCGCTATTCGGCAATAATTTTTAAGAAGTAACAAATTTCATAAAATATAAGCTTTCAGTGGAATCCATGAGATTGGAGAAAAAGTGAAAATAAATTTTTCGTAGCTTACTATTTTTTCACGAGATTATCCACATTAAAAATGTTATGTGATGCATAAGTTTCGTGTTCTGGATACGAAACTTTTTGTTGATATGTCTCCAGTCTTCTAATTATTGTAAAATAAACTCAATATATGTGGGAGCTGTCAACTAGTTAAATTTTAATATTTTATTTTCTGAGTTAAAAAATATTAAATTTCTATAAAATATAAATGTTTCAACAATAAAATATAAATGTTTCAAGAAAAATTTAATACACATTTAACTTTCGAAATTTAGTAATTTTTTTTTGGTTAATGGCGGGTACTTGGGTCTATTTCCCATTGGCCTCAGGAATGCCAGAATTACTATTCTCTTATCGTTACCCAGTGGGCACTATGGCTCACCCACGTCATACAGCTACAAACCCGTTTATAGGTCGGGTTACATTCCCCCAATCACACAGAAGAAAGGACATAGAGAGAGAAAGAAACATCCATGCCCTGAGCGGGATTCGAACCCGCAGCCATCGGCTAAGCAGTCAGGCATGCTAACCACTCGACCACCTGGTCGGCAAATTTGGAAATGTTGTTTTTATTAATTTTTGATCTGTAGCTGCTTGCACATTTTATTAATCAATTTTTACAATTCTAATTTTAGAGATTACTTTTTCAAAATTGTACTTCTTATTTCAAAATCCTTAACTTAATTCTAATTACTAATGTTTTTGTTGTTGTTGTTGTTAATTTACGTCGCACTAGAGCTGCACAATGGGCTATTGGCGACGGTCTGGGAAACATCCCGGAGGATGATCCGAAGACATGCCATCACAATTTTGATCCTCTGCGGAGGGGATGGCACCCCCGCTTCGGTAGCCCGACGACCTGCGCGCGAAGTCGAGCACTTTACGGTAGCACAGTTTAACGAGGACCAATACCGCACACCCTCGGTCCCTACGCAGACTGATCCAAGTGGGTCACCCACCCGCACACTGACCGCAGCCAGTGATGCTTGACTTCGGTGATCTGATGAGAACCGTGTCTTAACGATCAGTCCACTGCGGGACTACTAATGTTTTAGATATCGCACTTTGATTTGTTTTTACTTTTCCAAAACTGTATTTTTGTTGATATCATAATATCGACATTTAATATTTCCCGTCTTTCTAGTTCCTTTGTTTTAAAAATGTGTATTTCTATTTAATCATTTCTAATCTCTTTCTATGTAAAAAAAATAGTTAATGTTATTCATTAGTTAATATAATTTNTTCATTTTGAATTTTGACGCTGAAGAAGGTTCTTGATTATATTGAAACTATATTATGTCTGTTCTGCCTTATAATAATAATAATAATAATAATAATAAATCATTAATTTCTAAATAATAAACAATGAAAAATTAATAATAAATTTTGACTATATATTTAATATATAATTTATGTAAATAATATATTAAGATAATATGCTACACAGAAAAGGGTTTTTAGCATGTATTTCTTCGTATAATTTTGAGAAAAAATGTAAACAAGGTGATATAATATTTTTTCTTGTCTACTCTTATATTTATCTCTATAATATTTTTTCTTGTTTACTCTTATATTTATCTCTTAACTTAAAATTATTGTTAGAAGAGATTCCACGTTAAAACACTATAAATTCTAGGTTAATGTATTTATAATAGATTACTAATTCATGTCGACTAGATCACTACACGATGAGCTTTTTTATCTCGTAATGTGTGTTTTAAAATTGACGCAAGAGGAAATTGGTGTTTGCGAAAATGGACACAGCTCAAAATTTATGCTTAAGAAAATAGACACAGCGACAAATGTGTGTGAAATTTTAATGTTCAATCAAATTTCACACTTTCTCTTCTATACTTTTTTACTTCAGAGTGTAGCTAAGTCCCGGACATCAGGGTTAAGTTTAGCTGAAGATATTACAGATGTTCTTTTTTGGAACATTAAACGCTTAAGTGGTTTTGAAAAATTGGAATTCGATCAACATCAATTTAATAACTATATTTTAAGTTTATAGAACCCACACGAGATGGACGATTTTAAACTATTGAGTTTTAATATGTTTTCAAAAAATATTAATTAAAAAAGTACTAAGTGATTTAGGCAACTGGACAACATCACATAATCAATGATTTTGAAAGCAAGAGTTTATTTTTTAATGAGAGAACAATTTTCATAAAAGAAGTTTCAAATGTTCCAATTTCTTAGACGCTCATTTTGAACTGCTCCATATTTAGTGAAGCATTTCGAGTCGTATCCATTTTCTTATATTCGTATTTTCGCTGCGTCCATTTCATAAAAGACGCATTTTGTGCTGTGTTCATTTCATAAAAGACGCATTTTGAGCTGTGTTCATTTCATAAAAGACGCATTTTGAGCTGTGTCCATAATAAGCAGCTCATCGATGGTATAATACACAATACGACAATATAAAAAAAACTTTATACTTCAAAGTAAACTAAATATTTCAACTATCAATCAATGTATCTTTAGTTAATAATTTAGATATGATAATTTTAAAAGATGCAATTTAATGTTAGAGGCATAAAAATCAAAATTAATGATAAAATTTTTTAACGATAATATTTTTTAACTGTTGTTTTTCAATAAAAAAAAAAAACATAAGTAGAAAAGCATTGAGCCCATGTGAGAGCGCGTCACGAAGATGCGCCCTGAGTAATTGCGTGATTAAAACCCGCTACTTTCACACGCAAAAAGCGTTTCTTCTAATGATAAAACCACCATGCCGGAAGGTCTATACGACTTTATATTACATTTATCCTTTTAGCTGAAGGCAATATTTTACAGTTTTATGAAATTTAAGTTAGGTATGTTTGCATTGCTTAGGATTTCAAAGAAATATTTGTAAGACACTTAAAAGATTAAACATTAGTTAAAAAATTGTTATTTATTTACAATAAATAGTGTCAATATAAAATTGCTCATAATATTCATAGTCCTCTAAGGTGACTTGCCATTTAAGCTTTCCAACTTCTTCCTAAATCTGAAAATGCAAAAATATTACGATTAGAATTTAAAGCAGCTGAAGTTTTTTTTTAAAAAATTAATTATAATTATAATCTTGAAATTAATTATGCAGTGTAATATTAAATTTTTCAGTCAAAAATTGATCAATTAAAAAATAAATCAACATTCTAGGATATATAATTGTTTGTTTAAATTAAAAGCAATGCTTTATCGAAAGAAAGAACTTTCCTTCCCCTAATTTCGTAATAGATTAACTGAATAATAATTGTTTTCAGTTAAAAAATTATTCCTAGTTAACAGGCATAAATTAGTTCCCAAAATAAGGAATAAAGTTGTATCAAAATATATGATTTGGGTGAATAAAGTAAAAAGTACGAGTAATTTTACTTATTATTCAAATTTTATTTTGAAATGTCCTTTCTAAGACTTAATATTCTTAACTCCCAGTTTGCAAAATGCAAAAAAAAAATAATAATAAAAAAAATAAATAAAATACTGTAAAGAAAACATAGTTGTTTTTTTGTTTAGTCTCTTAAATCAATAGATAATATGTAATTTTTTTCATTTAATTTATGTAAAAATAATCACAAGCGACTTAATGTGAAGAATTCATTTAAATTAAATATCGTTCCTCTTTTTAGTTATTTATGAAAACTTTTTATATAGGGTTTTAAAATGATTATAACTTACTTTTTTAGCAAAATGATTAAGATCACTATTGACAATAGAAGTAATACTGTTGATAAGCACAAAATTATAAAGAAGATAGACGTGATTTCGAATTTATCTGAAACGAATAAATAGTGAAAAAGTTAAATTGAGTAAGAATAATAAATAAATAATGACAATTCTCTACAATATCTTACACAATTTTACATTTTGAAGAAATTAATTCCACATAAAGACATTTTTACAGAATAGCTATTCTTCATTTGACATTTTTAGAATTTGAAACATGTAAAAACGATGACTTGGAATTATACGCATGTAAGAGTTGGAGAAAATTGTGTAAGCACTGCAAGCAAACTCGATACAAACAATCTTTCTTTTAAGACAAAATTTTTCGGAAGATTATAAATGGTAAAACCCTTGGCACAATTTGAAAATTCATTATAGACGCTTTTAGAAATGATATAATTTTTTCCCATGCAGAATTTACATCGATCTAACTTAATGAATGCATGAAGTTAAACGCTTTTAATTTCTCTTTCAATACCATCACACGGAATTTTCATTCTAAAATTACGGTAAAATAATTGATAGCTGTCTGCTCGTCCAATTAAGCGTAAAACTTACGGGGTATTACTTTAAGAAGCATTTTTTACCTTTGCGGTTTTGAAACAGTTTACGAATAATTTGATTTGAACCGTAAGAAAGAAATTTAACTGGATATTGGAGTTAGGTTTTTTGCTATTCAATGGACATTGAAGTTAGGTTATGGTTAAGTTTTATTAACTGAATCTTGCAGGCGGTGAAATTAGTTCTTCTAGCTGTTTTACCTATTGTAAGACATGAGAAATATTATACTTTTTTGTGTTCAGCTTTAATGTGCTACCATTCATGCGTTAATGATATCGTATGATAATATGTAATGTAAGTTAATCATGCTCCAACAGGCCAGTGTCACAAATTGGGGGGTGTAAGACACTGGAATCCCAGCATGCATATTGCGGTGCCAACGCTGAAACTCGATACCGCGTTCTGTTGTCATGAGATTGACAGATTTGCCTTTTTGGCTAAAATATGTACCCAACTGCAGGGAACTAAGTGACTTCATTAGGTGGGTCTAGTTGGTGTGATAATGTTCTGGTTGTTTAATCATATTAGTTGGAAGCAGTTAATTAACGATTTTTCTCACAGTTAACATATTGAATGCTATCTTATTTATAGTTATTTGACTGTTTTGTTTAAATATGGTGAAATAAAAATTTTATAAATTGTTATTTAACAGAGAAATTTCTAGCAGTGTATAATTAAAAAAACAAAACATTCTTATAAAAAAAATTGTAATCTTATAGAATGATATCGAAATTGATGGTATTAAAATTAGAAAAAGTTATTAATTTCCTGTTTTTATTTCGATCACTCCATTTTTTTAGGGGTAAAGTAACATTTATGAAAATTGTGAGTATGATCTATTAAATTGTGCCGACACTTTTACCGAAATATTTGCGGCTAAAAGAAAGTTTGTTTTCATAAATTTAGTATGCAAGTGTTTTCATAATTTAGCTCAATCCCCCTGTGTAATGCCAACATTTGGTAAAATGACGGTAACTCTTTAATAAAAGATTCAATAGTGCAATCTCATGAAAACATTCTCTTACTTCTGAATTACATTTTTATTTCATATATTTCGCAAAATTTAAAGCTATTAACTTTTTAATAAAAGATTCAATAGTGCAATCTCATAAAAACATTATCTTACTTCTGAATTACATTTTTATTTCATATATTTAACGAAATTCAAAGCTAATATTCAATTATTTACCTTCACATCTTTTTAAATCTTCGTTGAAAATCTTGTTTGGAGGGCACATGCAGAATCCTTGTTTAATGGAGTGAATGTAGTGGCAAACTGCTCCAATGCTATTGCAAGCACCATTCATACTTTCACATATTTCATTGATTTCACATCGGTCTCCTGTATAAGGTGAAATGCATTTACAGAAGGATTCATGTCCATCTGATGAACATTTCCCTCCGTTTAAACAGTCTGCACTACTTCTGCATATTTCTGAAAACAAGCCCTGATTATTATGGAATGAGAAAAATGTAAGGACAATAAAAATATAACCAAAAATTCTCTTTTGAATGTTTCAAAACAAACATATGCCTCCTTATTTTTCTATTAAAATATAATGTATTAAAATCTTTTATTTATTTTTTATAAACGTCTTAAGACATCTTCTTTCTAATTATTGAGGTGTCATACAGTTTGATACTTCTCCGTTTCTCGCACGATTCGTGTAAAAAAAAAGTTCGTTCTTGATGTCAGATTTATTTAATTTTGGTATTGTGGTAATAAGTGCTATAGTAATAGGGACTTTCCCAAGTACGCTGTCACTTTGTTAATTAAGCCTTGTTAGTTACGATATTTTAGGCTGTTTCTATAGGATATATTTGTTATTTTCAAATATGTTGCATTTTTAATAGTCAAAGATCTTAAAGTTTTCCAAGGATATCTTCTATTCTGTTACCAAAATTATTGTATTAATTTATTCGATTTAATTTTGCAAAAATGGGACCCATTTCACTCCAGATTGTTTACTTTTAGAAAAGGTTGCCATTTAAAAAATTATCAATATATGTGATATGTTCAATATGTGTGGTATATATGTAAGTCAATATGTGTGGTATCAATATGTGTGGTATATATGTGGTAGCTTTGACAATGTACGAAGGTTTTAATCACTTTCCCATCTGTTCCTTGCATAAATATTTAAAATTTAATGTCGTAATGTTGATTTGATATTTTTTTTAAATAAGATTAAATTACGTTTTTCAGATTTAAATAAATATTTTTTTTTTCCGAAATGAACTTTTCCAAATAAATTAACTTTCAGTTACTTCTTAACTCTGTTATCATGTTAATGGTAACTTTATATATAAAAATATGTTTACTCTCTCTTAATTTAGAATTTAATACTTATTGAGTTCACCATAAAATACAGGCAAATATCAAAATTTATATGAAGAAAATTCAGTGATTTGTAATGCAAAATATTTCGAAATTTAGCTTGAGTAATAGTCTTTCCCTTTTTACCTTTTTGTTCCTTTTATTACAAACCATTTATTTAGCTTTCTTTCCTTATATAATTCACTATATTAACAAAAAGTAATTTTAGTGATTACAGAATAAATAATAAATTTGACTTAAGCTTAAGTTTTTTGCTGCTTCTGGTAATTTATTTCTTATTCAAATACTTTTGAGAATAGGTAACAGAGGAGAACATAGTTTTCATTTATATAGTTTTCAGTTACAAAGTTTTATTTGTTTTATTTTTATTTTATGTTCGGAATCAAAAATAGCTTTGCTTTTTTAAATTTCACATACAAGAAACGTTCTAACGGCAACTGCCATTTTTATAAGTAGTAATTTAAAAATTTGTTTAATAATTTTTTTCAAAAAATTGTCTATTTATTTCTTTTTTAGAAAGTGACTTTTTTTAAAACTGCAAATTAATCATTTTTATTAATAATTAAAATTCAATAAATTATGAATGATATAATAACTGAGTTTTTAATTCTTTTTCATATTAATTAGATCAGAGTTCATTTTTCTTACTAAAGCTTAATCGTTCACTTGGATATCAGTGTTTCAGTTAAAATTATGCGGGTTACCAGTACCAAACCTATGCTATCACTTTTTTTATAGTTGGCTGCAAAATACAATTTCTACAAGAAAATTTTGTTTTTATAGTGGTGTCCTCTGTCCTCTGTTGACAAGGATAGGAGAGATTTTCAAAACGAATTGAAGTGACAGCAAAACCACTAAATAAAACTTTCCCTGAAATGTTTCTTAGTTTCTGATTGTACGATTTCAAATTTACATCACATAGCTATATTTAAGTGCTCATAAAAAATTGCTTATTTCGACTGAAACATATTTTATTTAGAAACTCAAATGCAATTTTTCACACCATATGATTGTTCTAAATTGCTTAAAGCTGTATTAAATAAAAATAATTTATATTATTTATGTTAACAGTTCTACTCTTGAAAATGGCATTGACTTTTTTCCTTATCTTATAAAATATATCCTTACTAAAAGCATTGTGATAGGTGAATGGTCTTTATAATACCAAAAATGTTACTGTAAATATCTATTTTTTTATCTTCTTAATTCATTATCTACAGTACTTATTTTCCTTTACTTGAGCAAGTTCCATTTCTTTGAGCAAATCCATCACGACAAATGCAAATATTTCGTTCGCTTCTGTCAAAGAAACAAGACGCCGTGTTTCTGCCACAGTGACATTCTGAAAAAAAAATTAAAATACGTAAGTATTTTGTTAACAATTTTTAGAGTCATTTTGTCCTCTTTTCATCTGATTAACGTCTTTCTCTAAACTAGATCGACACTACCCTCGCGTAAATAAAAACTGGTTGGCTGGAAATTGCTTTACGATGATCTATTTAAGAGAGGGAGTGTTACAATATCTTTCTAGAGGGCCATGGTAGCTCAGGGGATAAGATCGGTGAGCTTTTGATGAGGTTTTCCGGGTTCGAATGCCAGCAAATGCCGGTCGATATGAACTCCCCACCAGGTTCGCACAAACCACAATGCTGGTATAAAATATTCTCAATCGTTGACACATCATGACACCCCTTTCCGTCAGCCTAACCATGGGAGGTTTTTCTGGTTTTCACTCCATGTAACGCAATTCCGGCATAGTCCCATCAAAAATTTCTCCACGAAGGTAAGTTTTTCCCAATACTTAATCCAGTAGTTCCCTTTTCTTCTTGATTGGGTTTAAAATTGAAAACTTTGGAGTTGTGAACATTGGTTTTCATACACTCAAAATTGGGTCAGCTGTTCAACGTCGAATTTATGCGCAAGTAATATTAAAATTGGAATGTATGGATAAAAAGTAAAGGTGTATGTAACGATATTCTAGATGTGGAAATAAAATTTACGATGTAACAAATATTATACAAAAATTATATAAATGAGATTAAAATACGATATTATAAATTAATGATGTTAAAAATTATATTAAGAAAATGCATTACATTAAATAATTATATTCTATAAGTGGAAATATAATTCCCCTTCTCACAACATAAAAGAAAATGACTAAATTTAATCTTTTTTACATTTAAAGATTTATCAGTCTCAAATAATTGCTTATTATACTTAAAATATTTATATATTTAGCTATCTAAATTATATTGCAGGTAATAGTATTTGTGCAATAGCTTAAAAAGTCTTTAGAAAGTATTCAAGTGATTCGACTTAGGAAACCAGCTGCGTTATTCGTAGCCCCAGCTTCCTAAATCATACCCTCCTTGAAAAATTGGATATGATCAAATAAATATACAGTTAGAATCATAAAAAAACAGTCAAATAAACAAAAATAACATGATATTCAAACTGTTAACTGTAAGAGAAAACGTTTATAAATTGCTTTCATCTAATATGGTTAAACATTTAGAGTTTTATTGCACCAACTAGACCCACTTAATGAAGACACTTAGTTCCTAGTAGATGAGTATCTATTACAGACGAGAATGTTATTCTGTCAATCTCATAACTGACAGAACTGGAGTTCGAATCCTAGGTTTGACTCTGCAATATTTCCTCCATTCCTCGTAACATCAAGAGTTTCCAGTGTTGAGAACTCTCTAATTTGTTACCCTGGGCTATTACAACACGATACTCATGCGTAGATGACAACACCATAAATCTGTTAAATTACCTCCCATATCCAGTTAAATTTCTTTATTACGGTTTTAAAGTCACGCTAATTGTAAATGGTTAAAAAAAACTTAGAATTCTGTATCCATGGTTTGTTAACCGTACTAGTAGTAAAGGGTTTTAAAAACCGGAAAAGTGAAAAGAAGAGTCTTTACCGTAAACTTTAAGGTTAATTGGATGGGTTGACTGCTTTAGATTTTTTTACCGTAATTTAGAACAAAATTTCCAACAATGTTGATAATTCCGGTTTGGATGCTTGTTTGCTAACTTTATTATTTCGAAACAAATTCTTTCTTCTTTGGTATGGGAATCATGATCTTTTAAAACCTTCAATGGTGGGAAGGCCTTGGATCAGATTCTAAAATTAAATCCATAGAAGAAGTATGTTATGTGGGCTAGGAGTTTCATCACTTAGATTTGATTAATTCGTGTCCAGTATAATATTTTCTCCTATAAAAAGTTTGTTTCATTGGAGACTTATAAATCAAGGAACCACACCAAAACATGTAAATTCCTGAAGAAATTTTCAGTTGTTACAATCCTATTATAAGCTTAACAACTATAAACTAAAATTTTCAAACATATTTAACTGGAACTAGAAATTATTGAATTTATATGGCAGACATGGGGCCTAGAATTGGCTTCGAAATTTTACCACAATGACATGGGAAACGAGAGTTATAATTTTGGCGTCGCGTTTTGAACTTCGCTTTGGCTTAAAATATCATAATCTACATTTTATTAAAAGTCAGCTTTTGCAAAAATACAGCTCTGCATTAATTGGTTCTTCTATAGCTTTAGACAGCAAACTTTTTAAAGTATACATACACATGCAACTTGTTTTTATCAACACCTCTAATTTGCTAAAATTTTATTTCTCATTTTTTTTTAATTGTAAAACAAATTATACTTCTCATGACAAGCCAAAACAAGTTAAAAGTTAATTATAATCACCTGAACAAACATTCTCCAATTGAGCGTAACCTGGAAAGCAGCTGCAATGTTGTGCCCCTTTCTCATTCCATTGGCATGAATAGGAATTGTCACCACAATCACATTTTTTTCCTTAAAATATTAAAATAAAATATGAACTAAAGATAATAAATAATATCATACTATGCTTTTACTAAAGGTAAAAATATTTTACAAATTATATAAGGTATTAAACGGAAGCACCTGTCCATTCAAAATAAATTAAAATACATTGCAACATTTAAATTTTAAAACGGTTCAATACATTGTAACACTTAAATCTTAAAACGGTTCAACCAGAAATGTTTCAATATCCACTAAAACTTTTACGATATTTCGGATCAGCGAGTCTTAATGTTTTTAACATTGAAGTCATTAAAAAAAATTAATGATTAAAGTGTAGGTAATTTAGAGCTTAAGGAAATGTGTATTGTAACAAGAATTGAGAATCATATTAGTTCAAAAATTGATTTTCGAGTAGATAAAAATGAATAAAAAATGATTAAGATATCAAAACGTGCCATAAAAAGGTAGGAACTATGCTGGAACAAAAACATCAATTTTTTAAAATTAAAAAAAAATCAAAAACTTATAAATTCAATAAATAAGTTTAAATAAATAATAAGAAAAGAAAAGACAAACGAGAAAATAATACTAAGAAGAATAAATAAAATAATTTCAATGAGACTGATTTAATGACAGTAACAAACCTACTTTGAACTTCTGTTGTTGATATTTCTGTCGTCGATGCTATAAAAAAAAACATTTTATTAGCTAATATATATTAATACAGTATGAATAAATATGGATAAACTATTGTAACGATTTTTGTGTCGTACAAGGAGCTATAACACTGAAGTTTGTGGTATAAATCACTTTTAATACATTTATAAACTGCAATTTCAGAACCTAGTCATGATTGGAAAATATAAGTTTGTTTTGTACAAATTTTGTATTTTGTCTTAGTCATTCTTTAAAATCTGAATTTTCTCGGTCTGCATGGTTGAACCATGCCTTCCTAGCTTCTAAAAACACGCTTTAATAAAAAATTTTAGATTTATTCTCACTGTGGATGTTTAAGCTTTCAGAGAATTTTAACAGAAGTAGAACATATAATTTATTTGGGTAGAATTTCAAATGAATAAAAGTAATTTAAGAAAATGACACCAAATCTAGGTGCACGAAAACTTAAGTAATTTTAAATATTTCAGAATTTAATTATACTGAAAATATATCATTTTTCTTTCGACTTAGTAGGATCGGTAGGAAATTTTTTGAATCTATATTTATTTAATATTTAAGAATAAATACAATCAAGAACATGTGAGCCGTGATGGTGCAGGGGATAGAACGTACCCTTTCCAATGAAGTGAACCGGGTTCAAATCCAAGCGATGGCTGGTTGATACGAATATCGCATTTGAATTGCACCTACCACAGTGCTGACGTAAAATATCCTCAGTGGCAGACGGATCATGGTTCAGAGTCCCCTTGGTGTCAGGTTAATCATGGGAGGTTTTCGCACTTTTCTTTTCTGTGTAAAGCAATTGCGGATTAGTTCCATCAAAAAGTCCTCCACGAAAGCAAATTTCTCTCAATACCTGCTTCAAAAGCTCCCTTGTCTTCTGGGTTGGGTTCAAAATTACAAACCTACAGAGTTGAACATTAGTGGTCGTAAACCCAGAATACGGGTCTGCTGTTCAATGACGGTTATATAAAAAAATAAAAAAATAAAAAAAATCAAGAGCATGCAGGTCTACTTATGTGCACCGGCGAAATCCATGACAACATAGTAAACAAATGAATTCTCATAGTATTATGTACTCAGAGATGAACTTACAGTATGATATAATACTCATAGTATTGCATCTTACGGAATGTAAATAAAAATACATTTCTGTGTTCGGGATGCATCATGGTAACACATCATTACAAAGGAAAGGAAATAAAAATAAAAAATGACAGAATGTAACTATGTAAATAAAAATACATTTCTGTGTTCGGGATGCATCATGGTAACACATCATTACAAAGGAAAGGAAATAGAAATAAAAAATGACGGAATGTAACTTACGGAATGTAAATAAAAAATACATTTCTGTGTTCGGGATGCATCATGGTAACACATCATTACAAAGGAAAGGAAATAAAAACAAAAAATGTTAGAAACGAATCAGGATCTTTCTAAATTGAGAACTTCGGATAGTAGAGGTTTTTAAGTAAATAAAATTTGGTAATTGCGTTTTTTCTGTTATAAGTATTTAAGCAAACTAAATTGTTTAAAATAAAATATTTTTTTAAGAAATTCGGATATTAATGTTATTAAATAAGATTATATACTTACAATTACTTATTGTTCTTGTCGAAGTGGGATCTGAACTAACACTTACTGTTGAAGACGACAAATAAGCTGAAAAAATTACGAATAAGCAATTATGAACTTAAAATGAAATATAATAACAAATATTTTACATTTTTTATATTCCAACAATCCAAAACTTTCTACCATAAATGAAGGAAGAATTTTTCAGTAAAAAGTTAAACTTCATGTTATTTTCGGCGTAGAACAATTTCTTAAGTAGACTTAAGTTGATTCAGGCAGACATTCAAATGGTAAAAAAAAAAGATGAATAATAAGTAATAAATAATGTTAAAAGTAGTTTCGCTGTTGTTAGGATAGTTTGCGGAGTGCTTGCGGTTTAGTAGTTTGCGGATTGCTTAAGTTTTCCAGCGATTTAAGCCTGAGATAAGCTTTCTGTTGATTTACGTATTAGTCTGGTTATTTTTTACAATACAATGTGTTCCATTTTTAGAATACCTGTCAAAAAAAAGTTAAAAAAGTGTAGACATTGGATATCGCAAACTATTCGAAGATGAACTTTACTGAAAGGAAAACCTTTTGAGGCACTTGGCAGAAAGAGAAGACTGAAACATCACGTAATAAAAAAAAATTTAAAAAAGTATTACAATGAACTTATTTATTGCCTGGATTTTATTATCTTTGGGAACACTGCATACATATGACCATTTCATAACTTCTACATTCCTCGATATTGAAACTTTAACCAAATAATTTAGCAATTTTTCTGTAAATAGAAAATAGGAATATAACGACAGTTTAACATCAGTTTCCGGTTAACCATGAAAGGTTTTGAGAGCTGAAAAATTAAAAAACGGTATACAGGATATTGAGAGAAAAACACCACTTTTCTGTATTGATAAGGATCATTATAAGTTTCATAAAAACTACTGTTTCGTCCGAGTAATTCTTAGTGTAGAGAGCAACCCGACACAAGTGGTAATAACCAGGACGGTTCGGTCTCTACTTTAACAGAGGAACACATTTTTGTTAATGAAGTTTTTCATGATCTTATGAATCTTATGAACACATTCATTATGAATATTTGTTAATTTTTCCTATTTTTGGAATTTTTTTTTCCTTCTTGTAATTATTGTTTCCCTACTTGTAAATATGTCTTGTACTTTTCTATACATTCAATTATTTGTTACTTATTACGACGGCAAAGTGCCATTCTTTTTTCTCAGCCTTGACATGTGCCATTATTTGTTGCATTTTATTTAATCTGTCTATTGTTTTTGCTTACGTTCTCATTACAGGATGATAGAGAAAAGGGCCATTATTGGCCTCAGGAGCCCAGCTACACCAAACAGTCCTGACCAGACTGTTTCGATTAAAATAAAATAAAAAAAATTTTAAAAATCATAAATGTTTTTACCGACGCATTTCTTGTTCTTAATTATATAACCAGGTCGGCACTCGCATCTGTATTTCGATACATCTTGTTCGTCATTAATGCATGTAAAGAATTCTCCTCTCTCCTGACATTCTTTATTTCCTCCGTTGTCTTCGCAACCAGTTAGAGCTAAAAAATTAAGAAACTGTATATAAAATATTGAGTGAAAAACACCAATTTTCTATATTGTTAAAGATCATTGTAAGTTTCATAAACACCACTGCTTCAATTAAAATAAAAGGAAAATTCTCTGAAAACCATAAATGATTTTACCGACGCATTTCCTGTTCTTAATTTTGTAACCTGGTTGGCACTCGCATCTGTATTTCGATACATCTTGTTCGTCATTAATGCATGTAAAGAATTCTCCTTTCTCCTGACATTCTTTGTTTCCTCCGTTGTCTTCGCAACCGGTTAGAGCTGAAAAATTAAGAAACTGTATATAAGATATTATTGGGTGAAAAACACCACTTTTCTGTATTGATAAAGATCATTGTAAGTTTCATAAAAACCACTGTTTCGATTAAAAGAAAAAGAAAATTCTCTGATAACCATAAATGATATTTTACCAACACATTTCCTGTTCTTAATTTTATAACCAGGTTGGCACTCGCATTTGTATTTCGATACATCTTGTTCGTCATTAATGCATGTAAAGAATTCTCCTTTCTCCTGACATTCTTTGTTTCCTCCGTCGTCTTCGCAACCAGTTTGAGCTGAAAAATTAAGAAACTGTATACAATTTATTATTGAGTGAAAAACACCACTTTTCTGCATAGACATTTTAATATATACAATTGCAATTTCTTGTTTTAACAAATCAAAACAAATAAAAATGCGCATAAAAGTGACAAAATACGGTTCAATTTTTGAATGAAAGATTCTACTCATGAACAAATACAATATATTTGTGTTAATTTTAATTTTCATAACATAAAAAATAATGGTTCAACTGTTTTTCACTGCATTCGTTGCATTTTTATGGACCTCATAACCTATAGTAAAATCCATATTTTAACAATACCATATAGTAAAATCTCTAAAAAATATATTATTCAGTCCCCAGTTTAAAGTTCATAAAAGTTAGATCTGTATTTTTTAAACTGTTATTTAAAGATATTTTTAATTCAGTTCAAGATCATAAAGATATTTAATATATGAATTTATAGAAGTTATTTTCAGTTAGGATTCGAAAGGTATAAGGATTCAAAATTGTAGGCTTAAAACTAAAAATGATGTTCTTTTATTAAAGTAATCTCACGATTATACCTTATTACGCAATATTCTTTGACAAACATTAGTTATCGATTTAAAATTATTAATTGGTAAATAAGTTATATTTTATTTGGCAATATATGTTAAGTAAAGATGTGTCAAATTAACGTTTGCATTTAAAATATTCTACCTAAATTAGCTATTTAAAATAGTAAAGCAATGTAAGGGCTTTATTTTCAGCACTATTTCTACGTAATCTCTTAGGCGATAAACTTTTCACTGGATTTTACTGTAACAATATTTATATAGATAAAATTGCTATAGTAATACACAAAATGGTTGGATTCAAATTTTCTAAGAATAAAATTAGGAACTTAAACTGAGGGAATTTCATTCAGTTAGAATTTATTTAAAATTTCGGGGTCTATTTATTAAATAGTTTTTAATTTGGAGGGATTGTTTAACAAAAATGTTTGCTAGAAATCATGGGGTCGGTGAGCGAATTAATCTAGTGAAATATATTTTCATAGCTTCCAACTGCGCACCGTCATTAAAAAAATTATTTCTTAATAGTAGCAACATTTTTGTTTAATTGTTATTGATATTGAAAGGTGATATTAAAAAAACCATTATATATTGGTTAGGCAGTAATAGTTTTATATGCTTATTTATATATATATATATATACAGTAGAGTCCCGATTATCCGAGTTAATGGGGGCCGCAACAAACTCGGATAACTGAAAAACTCGGTTAAAGCGAAGAGTATAAAAACGGAAAGAAAAAGAGAAGGTATAAATGTAATATATTTAAGAAATACAAAATGTATACGAGTATACCACATACAATTCATATTATAATTAAAAAGCTTACTTAAAAACATTTAAAGACCATACTTTACGAGAATTAAATAGTTTTTACTTAAAAAAATTCCTTAATCGTTTTTCGTTCAACGTAACTTTGGCGCTTTTCTGTAGTAATGTTTCGCCTCTTTGAGGGATAACAGGGAGGCTGGTGTCGTCTCTTTTTGTTGTTCTATATATTCAATAGTACATTCGATAGCTTTTAGTCCATCTGTATGAGAGATTTTTATATGTTGATTTTAATAATCACTGTCTTGATCATCTTCGCTAGATTCATGATCATTATTGGCGATATTAACGATAATTTCATCAGACCAAGTTGTTGGATTTTGTTTTTCTGAGTGTTTGGAAGATAAAATTCAGATTTATTTTTCAGCGGTTTTTTTAAAAATAAACTAGAACAAAAAAAATCCTTGAAATATTTGATAGCTCGGTTAAAGCGGAAACTCGGATAACCNTACAGTATACTCTCGATTATCCGTGCGTGGATTATCTGGTGTGCGGATTATCCGTGTCCATTCCGGAGTCAACAGAAAATTTAAATAGAAGCATTTTCAAGATTAAAAAATTTTGATTCATGAAGTTATAACACTACCCAATTTTTGGAAGCAATATTCGCTATTGGATTGCAGTATATGGAATGTCAGCAGCATGGTCAAAGGTAAAATCGCCTACGTTATCACGATCGTGGAGAAAGATCATATCTCTTGTTGAACAATCTTCAGATATTCAAGAAGAATATGATAATAGTATTCTTGAACAAGCAAAAGAAATCGAAGGTTTCGAAATTCTTGATGAAGAAAATTTAGAAGATTGGTTTCAAAGTGATGCATGTGAGCCTGGCTTCCAGTATTTGACAGATGAAGGCATCGTTATGTTGTTGAATCAAATAATGATGATAGTAACTGATGCAGAAGATGTAGTAAATGAGGGAAATACAATTTCTCATTCTGCTGCTCTGTAGAAACTTTATTAAATTATATGGGAGTATTTGATTACGGTGACATTAATGCAGTTCATAAAATATGTGACAATATATGGCTCATTACGCATTTTTTTCAAAGAAAATTCCTAGTTTCATGTTATGCAGCATGCAAGTGTCAGTAATTTTTATATTTTTTGTATTGATATTGTTTTTTTCTATAATAAAAGTAGTTTTCGGATTATCCGTGTTTTTCGGTTGTCGGTGCGACCTGTGCCGGGGATTATCCCGGATAATCGGGAGTGCACTGTATATATACGATTTGTTTAATTTTAATAAAACTCTTCTTACTTTAATTTTTTTCTCTCTACCTCTGAGTAAAATCTCTCTCAACGACCATGCAAGTTGGCATGTACAAATCTGTTATTCTTCTCGTTTACGTCTACTGCAGTGATCAACAAGAACAGTTTAAAAAAAGTAGGAAAATAAAGATTAACCCATTAACTCCCATCTTTTAATAGAGTAATTGAAAGAAATTTGTCTCTACGAAGTTTAATGCAAATATATGTGAACTAGGTGAATAATTCGTCTCTTAAGACAAATTTAAGTTTTAAAATTATCACAAGCAATTTTTTTTTTATAATGAGACAAAAGAATTTATATTATTTCGAGGATCTATAAACGATATAACGAGCAGATGACTTAGTCTCTAATCTAATTAATATAAAGTTTAAAATACATTAAAGTATAAAATCTAAAGATCTAAACAAGTTCAAGGAGAAAAGAGCAAGCAAAGCAAAATGAAATGAACTGCATAAATAGCTCCAGGTATTGGCAAGCGATACGGAATAAAACTCAGAGCTCCCTGGATTATAGATGGATCAGCTCATATCATAAATTCATTTTCTAAAGTTAATTATTTAAAATAACATTTTTTGTAAATTATTCTATTAACAATAAAATAATATAAGTTAGAGAAATAAAATGAATTAGGGAAAAATAAAATAAATGCCATTAAAATAAAATAAATTTGAGAAAAGCAAGGGAATGAGAGCAGAGCCCCCTTGCTATCTAAAATCATTCGCACGAAATTTAGGGCTGTCGCATAGGTTTAATGACCCATTTAAGATTTTTAGTTGGTGAGTTTCTTATCTCTTCATTTGAACTATTGAAGTTAATGAAGAATATTCTTAGGCGAGATTGAAAACACATTTTTCTAAGAAGCATCTTCGTAAAAAGATTTTAAATATACAATAAGCTGATGCAATTGTCCAATAATAATGTGCTCATTATGTTTTGTTGTTTTATATCCCCGATAACTTTTTGTTATAGTTTTGTTAAGTAAGCTTCATTCATTAGAAAAAAATATCAAAACATTTATCTCCTAAAACAAGTTTATGATTCTACTTATCACCATTAAACCAAACAATTAAAAAAATTTATTTGATACACAATTTATTTCCTTTCAAAAATTTCTATCACTATATGATTTACATAACGAACCGTTTAGTTAGACCATCAAAATCGTCCCCACTATTGCTTTTTTTAAAATAAAAGCCTTTTTGAACTGTATTCCTTTCAAGTGACAATAAGAATCCCACTCATTCTTTGAGCACCAAACTTGTCCCAGTTAATAGGTTTTGTTATACTATTGTGATCATTTTTGGATCCAGTTTCACAACTATTTTACAACCATCGATTGCCAATTTATCTGCCACGAGCCACAAAGGTAAATTTTTAATTAATGTTTGTCATGACTTTTGCGATTTCAGGATGTGGATAAAAAGGTGTTTAAATTCTGCATTAAAGCTCCAAATATCAGTTAAAACTGTTTTAATATTTCTTAAATAATAACAAAGGAACATTCAATAAAATTTCCATGATGAAAATAAAGTTTCTGTTTGCCTATATTCGAATCTTGATAAATCAAGTTTTTTCCCCGTATTTCAGATATATTACCATTAATTTTCCTAAAAAAAATAATACATAAACTGTTCATATTCACAAACATTTTTCTAAAGAAAATGTTTCTGATCCTCTATTAAAAGAGGTGGGTGCAATTGCTTACAATAAAACGGAAACACTCACCTCCAAGCTAAGGGAGATATAAAAACTGTTTCTTCATTATCCAATTTCCACGTGGGAGCTTATATATGCGAAACTGCAAAATGCTTTTCTTTTCTAAACCCAGTGGTTCCAAAATCAATTTAAGAATCGGTATTATGCATAAAATAATCCAAATAAAATATTTGCTGTTACAATCATTGCAGTTTTTTTAATATTTTAGGATGTACAATGCACAACTAAAAAAGGTAAATAAGGGTTGCAGCAGATATTTTAAGTAGCGGTTGATTAAGTTTCAATTAAAGTTTTAATTCAGATTCGTGACCCCCAAAATATAGAGTCTATATTCTTGGATTGTGACCCCCAAAATGTTGGAACTATATTCTTGGAAGTAAAGTTCCAACAGTTTGGTAGAAAGAGTGGTCCAATGAATTTAAAAGATTTGGCCGGCAATTGAAAACTTCGTTTATCTAAAGTTAATTCCATGCAACAAAAAAAAAATAGTTTTTAGTTAATATTTATTATTTTATTTAATAAAAGTAGAAAAAATTGGAAAAAGATAGGTTTACATATTTTACATCAGTTTCATCTAAGTCAGTTTATATAGCAATATACAAAATTTGAGCGAAACTATCCGAATAATTTTTAAAAAATTAAATAATAAAAACACGATCTTTTCATAGTATTTACAAACATTAACTAATAACAATTAAGGCAAGCAAAAAATAAATAAGTGAAATTATTGCACAGATATAAGACTTGGAGTGCGGATAATAATATCGTTCGAATTTGCTATTTAAATAGATTGCTAAATTGAAACAAATTATCATGCGTTTTAGCTCGAATATATGATAATGTGTTTTAACCTGAAATGATATATCATGCAAATTATCATGCTTTTTAGCTCGAATATATGATAATGTGGTTTAACCTGAAATTATATATCATGCAAATTATCATGCTTTTTAGCTCGAATATATGATAATGTGGTATAACCTGAAATGATATATCGTTTGAATTAACACCTTATTTCCTTATGTACTTCTACTCTCTGGCTACTCCGTTATGGAGTTAGCCTGCACCTGCTTCAGATGGGTATATTACGAGAAGATTAGAGGGCCAGTGCAAACTATTCTCCCCGTGGCCAGTCCAAACGGCCTTTTCAGGGTTGACAGTGGATGATTTCGTTCTTCCCTCGTTTGGTTTGATATTTCATTCAGGTACCTAACTTCGTTCTTCGATCCCTTCGTTCTTTTTGTCATTAAAGTAAGATGGTACGATGTCCTTACTGATAGTGGTATATTGTCCTCAATAAGCAACATATTCACTCCATTTTTTCACTCCTGTATTTGCAAAGTAACTCCTTTTCCTTCACACTAAATATAATGATATCGTTTAGAAATGCAAATATTTACCAATGCATTTTTCTTTGTCTATTTTATACCCAGGAAGGCAGTCGCACGAGTATTTGGACGCATCTAGTACGTCATTATAGCAAGTAAAGAAGTTCCCTTTCTTTTAACAATGATCTTTCCCTCCATGGTCTTCGCAACCAGTTTTGCCTGAAATGTAAAAATAAATATTTAAATTGCGACAAGGAAATTTGTTGTGAACGAGTTTTCTTCTGGAAACATGATGAGACATTTTTTTTCCTTCCTGTACTTACAAATTAAGTATTTCTCCTAAAACAGTTGTAAAAAAGCTTTTTTTCAGGAAATATGATTTCTTTTCCTTAAGACTAAAAATATTGCTATGGATAAAAAATACATATATTTACCGACGCATTTTTCTTTGTCTATTTTGTAACCAGGAACGCAGTCGCACAAGTATTTGGAGGCATTTATTTTGTCATTATTGCAGGTAAACAAGTCTCCTTTCTTTTGACACACCTCTTTTCCTCCATAATCCTCGCAACCAGTTTTAACTGAAATATAAAAAAAATATTTCAATTGCGACAAGGAAATTTGTTGTGAACGAGTTTTCTTCTGGAAACATGATGAGACATTTTTTTTTCTTCCTGTACTTACAAATTAAGTATTTTTCCTAAATCTAAAAATATTGCTATCGTTAAGAAAGACATATATTTACCAATGCATTTTTCTTTGTCTATTTTGTACCCAGGAAGGCAGGCACACGTGTATTTGGAGGCATTTATTTTTTCATTATTGCAAGTAAAGAAATCTCCTTTCTTTTGACACGCCTCTTTCCCTCCATAATCCTCGCAACCAGTTTTAACTGAAATAAAAGAAAAATATTTCTATTGCGACAAGGAAATTAGTTGTAAGCAAGTTTTGTCAGGAAATTTGATAAGACATTTTTTTTTCATTCCTGTATTTACGAAGTAAGTATTTTTCCTGAGACTAAAAATATTGCTATCGTTAAGAAATACATATATTTACCGACGCATTTTTCTTTGTCTATTTTGTACCCAGGAATGCAGTCACACGTGTATTTGGAGGCATTATATTTGTAATTATTGCAAGTAAAGAAGTCTCCTTTCTTTTGACACACATCATTCCCTCCATAGCCCTCGCAACCAGTTTTAACTGAAATATAAGAAAAATATTTCAATTGCGACAAGGAAATTATTTGTAAACGAGATTTTTCAGGAAATATATTGAGAATTTTTTTTTCATTCCTGTATTTACAAAGTAATTCTCTTTTCCTAAGACTAAAAATATCATTCATTTAGAAATGCATATATTTACCAATGCATTTCTCCTTGTCGATTTTAGAAACAGGAAGGCAGTCGCAAGAATAAGATCTATATTTTTTTTTAGATTAAAAATATTGATATCGTAAACTGATTCAAATATTTACCAATGCATTTTTAACTATTTTGTACTCATGAAAGCAGTTGCATGAGTATTTGTAGGAATTTAGCTTATCATTATTGCAAGTAGAGAAGTCTTCTTTCTTTTGACACACCTGTTTCTCTCCTTAATCTACGAGCAATCCGCATAACATTTACTTCAAGTTTTTATTTACATCTGTTATTATATTAGAGGAAAAGTTCTTCTCTATTGGTTATCTTTATTTGTGCAAGTTGAAAACTTCCCCAACTGAATGATTACTGTGGAAAAATATCCTGCACTATTTAAGGAACAACACTTAAACTCCACGCATTGTGTGACTACTGATATTTTTTTTTATCTCTGGAAAACTTGCAAGAGATTTTTTTTTGTTTAAAAAAATGTTTTGATAATTAAGACTGCACGTCTAAACATGATATATCTTCGACATATTTTGACCGTCACTTCGTCATGATATTCATCTTTTGTGCTTTAAAATGGAAACAAATCACTTACTCTATAGGTAGAAAAGATGAAGACTGCCATAATACTAAATAGTATTCACGTGAATACGTTTGTAGACGACTTCATAGTATTAAATACGGTCAGTTACAACAATCAAATTAAACGACAAACAAGATGCAGTGGAATTGTTCTGCGCTATGTAAAACTTAAAAATGACTCGCACTTATTTTACAACGTTAGTGATATTGCATTATGAATCTTTCGTCGTCCTAAGTGGGCATTCCGCGTACATTCTTGTGCTCTTTGAAGAGCTATAAGTTAGTGTTTTGTGTGAAGATCTATAAATTAGTGCTGACAAATAGTGTATAAAATAAATGAAACGCGCAATTTAACACCGCAGGAGACAGAATAAAACCTTTAGTAATTATAAGAATCCTTTTATCAATATATACAAGAAATCCATTTATCGATGTTTTGCTGTCATTTTTCTGTCACGTTAACATACTGTGATACGGTAGAGAAAATGTCCTGCCAATTATAGAACCTCCACATTTTAAAACCTGTTGTGTAATAATGCGTTTTATTTATATTCGTATCTTTTGTTATTTCTCGTTACACTTACGCTCCCGTAAAGGAATAACTGCAATACAATGTTACACTAAATTGTTACATTGTCATTGCATCTAACTTAATGTGTAAATGTAAATTTTTAATCATGCATTTCGTGATTTAATTTTTTTCGATATTTCCTATAAGGAGTTTTAAAAACCTTTTTTTAGACTATGAGAATTATTTAGAAGGAAATTTACAATAAAATGGCGTGTAAGTACCGAGAAGGAAGTAGAGAGTAGAATACACTTTTGAAAATTAATATATTATGTGAAAATTTAGGAACAATTTTTTTTTGATTTGATATTAAAATAACAGTTACATGCTTTAGTTCTATTTAGATAAGTAAAAGTTGAATGATGAATTACACTTCTTTTTTTTTCTTACTGGTACTCATTTTATACAAAAATTGAAATTTATTTGCAAGTTACAGCTCCTCTATATGTAGATTAATTAATTCTGCATATACAAGTTTCAAATTTATTCCTACACTTTTTGGCATATGTTGTATAAAAACACTATTTTCCGTTTGAATTTATAATTAGTCCCTCAGACCTCTAAAGGCTGTGTACTTCATTGATAATTACGCAAAATAGCAAAACCTTATCGCTGGTTAATTGATAAAGCAATTCTCTAAGTATTCTTTGTGAAAATTTAAAGAATGTGTTACTGTAGTAGTGTTTCCATTATTTTGTCCTACCCCTGTATATAGATATGTATATAAGTACCTATATTATTTTAAAAGTGTTTTGGAACGATAATAGTATATAAGATCTTTTCCATGACAAAACATAATTTCTCATATTTTTTCTAATTTTTCATTTGTTTATTCAAATCTTATTATCCTTATTCAATATTTAATTCTTATAATCCATAGATTATTTTAAAATTTTGAAAGGGAATAACTCTTTTAATTTGAAGTTTTGCTTACTAATGCATTCCGCATCCTTTTGTCCTTTTTTAGCTTCATCTTGAGGTTTGAAACCTTCTTTGCACTCACAAGTATAATATTTGCTATTCGTTTCACATTCCGTATTTTCTCCAGTACAGTCAGTGGGTTTGCATTCATAAATATCTTCTGAAAAATGTAAGAAATTTAAAAAAAAAGTATTATAAAGAAAATTAATAACTTTTAAATAATAGGACTCCTTAAAAAATCTTTTACAAAGTATTTTTTTTAAAGTTTTTAATACGAAGTTTACAATCACCTTTCCTTTAAAAAGAAAATTAGTCGCTGTCCCATTTAAAGTTAAGTTATTTCAAGCCAACGCAGGTCCTTGCATACGTATCATAGTACTTGCGAATTATTTTTTTTAATCCAACTACAAAAATGTCGAAGAACCAAAATATTATTTCAGAAATCTTTAGTGTTGTTTGTTGTTATCAATTGACTTTATATTTAAAGTTTCTCGATAAAAAAAATTTTTAAAAGCAAAGAAGGTTGCTATAAATGGGTAGAAATGATTGATTAAGAGAACCAATTCATGCAAAACTGCTCAACATATGATTTTATTTTCTCTTATTATTTGAGCAGTTTCAGCAGTAGTTCAGATTTTAAGTTTAACAATTCTTAAGAAAGAGATGTTTCTTGCAATCTTGAGATTCTAAAGAAAGAGATGCCCTTTATTAACATAGATTGTTCATCTATGCATTTATTTCATTTTTTTTAAAATCTTTTTCTTTGGCATCCTGATGCATTTTGCGAGTTTATCTTAAAATGAAAGTCTTGAAACTATTTTGTCTTAAGAAAGGAGTTCATAATTTTTGTAGAGAAGGTATTGGATATCTAGTGACTCTTGTATATTTTAAATATATGCTTTTACCTATGCAGTTGTTACTGTCTGGTTTATATCCAGGTTCACAGATGCAAATGTACTTAGACTTGTCTTGTTCTTCATTAACACATGTCCAGTGTTCTCCTTTTTCTGCACATTTTTCGCTACCTCCTCTTTCTTCGCATCCTGTATTTTAGGGGGAAAATAATTAAATTTATGTGTGATTCTTCAACTTTCTAGAGTATAAAACATTTTTTTCATAAATACTCTTTTTTGAAATTTTTTTATTGCATTTAATCTGCATAACATCGTCTATCTTTAAGCAAAGTTTGGTTACTTTCTTTGCATATTTTAAGCAGTCGATTATAATGTATACTACATTATACAATACATATAGCAATCAATAAGGCAATGAAAAAATAGACACATTATGTACAATACTTTATCTTTAATAAGTATTTTTAGTCGCTCTTGTTTCAGATAATTTAACCCCCGTATTAAAATATATTTTAAAGGGACATAGGTGACAATTTCATTTGATATAATATTGTGTCCACACTTAGTTATTACTAATTATCTCATTGTGCTTGTTTTTCAATCTATTAAGTATAAATTATGAACTTATTTACTAAATTAAAATTACTTGAAGAAAGGAATATAATTTTTGACTAAAATGTATTTTTAACTTCGATTCTTATGCGGATACAAAATGGTTCCTTTTTTAGTCTAAGAATTTACGATATTTTAGCAGCATATGAAGGATTAAGGATTGTATGAACTATCCACTCCTACTTTTTTCATCACGTGATTTTCTCGTGGATAATTTAAAAATACTTATATTAAGGGATTGTAGTGACTAGTAAACTATGAGAGAGGTAAGATTTTTCTGATGAATAAAACAATGTATAAAAAAAGTGTAAGGAGCAATGTATTATGTTTTCTTGATAACCATAACGTTAAGGAACAAACAAAATTTACTATGCATTTTTAACTTGCTGTGTAATAAGACTGAATATTTATCTTAGCGAGTAAAAAGGGACAGGTCAAAAGTGTTATTTTACTTTAACTTTTAGAAACAAGAAACACGTACCAAGTATTTGGCACATACTTTGCTATTGCATTGAAATTTCTTCTATGAAAGAAAAGAGACAAACGCTTACAAAAGACATTCAGATTGAGTTGATAATTTTTATGTTCATGAAATAAATATTTTAATGCCTATAAAAAAGAAAAAATGGAAGGCCTTAATAGATGTTTTTTGAAAAATAAAAAAATACCTTTGTTATAAAAATTAATTCATTATAGGTAAAAACGTTTTCTAAAAAAATAGCCCATTGTAACTATTAACCATTACAATTTCTACACTAGGGAAATGGCATGCCAAACTCGTAAAATTTCAATGACAGATTAAACATGGTGAGATATAAAAAATACACGTATAGCACGTAGCACGTTTCAAAACATACACGTATAGCAGGTAGCTGACGACACCTATAATGCTCATAGAAATAGTCTGACAGAAAACTTCTTATACTCAATTTGCATTTGAATATTATTTTGGCTTAAAAATTTTAACATGTAAGAAGAAAAAATTACCTACCAGCTACTCTATCATCAGATCGTCTGACTGATAAAGTAAATATTATAGCTTACATGGGTTGTGATTTATCCTACTACATAATTTCCGGTCACGTTGGCAGAATTCAACTGAACTTTCCTAAAAATATAGATAGGATAGGTTAAAGTTGGTCTTGCGGAAAATCACGCTGGAGTTCAGTTGCCTTCCCTCCACACCATTAACAGTCAAGAAGACAGTCATCTTATCCCCACTGACACAGAGGGCTGAACAACTACATTATAAAGTAAGGATATGTAGTTTCTTGAGAGACTGCAAGTTTGCGCTTAAACTGCTGGAAATTTTTTACAGTAATATTTTGCACCAGAGAGGAAACAAAGTCTCCAGCTACCTTCAACGTAGCATCACAAACAGGAGCGTCTTCATTGATCTGATCAGTAACCAATCACTAAATAAGGACAGGCGAACAAGTTTGAACGAGATAATAAAAGAGGTCAGATAGGAAAAAAGATGTGAGGGGATTTGGTGAGAAACTCAGGGTGCAAAAGGTTAAATTAGAATAGATTTCCAAATATTGGAAAAAGGGGAAATACTAGGAAGATCCCAAACTAAATTACTGTTTGAAGTTCCATCAATTGGAACTCTTTGTTTACATGTAACCATGTTTGTGACTAATCCTGGAATCTTTAAATGATTTTTTGAAAGATTTTATGAAATGATCAGGAACTGTGAATATTATGCGTTCCAAACATAAACAAATAGAAGAGTGCTCAGAGGCACATACTTAAAATAAAAATTTAACGTAAATCTTCAAAATGTTAGTGTCAACGCTATGGTTTAAAAAATCAGCAAGCAATCTTCTTAATATTCAAAATATGATTTTTTTTGCAATTCTAACTTTTGTTGGACCAGAGAGATAGGCTTTACTTTTGAAAACGAACAACTGTTGAATTGCAGATACATATGTAAAGAACATAATTATAAACAGAGTACAATGCATCTATAAACTTTGCAAAGTGGGATTTCATAAATGAAATCTTTACTAGTTTATATTTATATTTATTATTACTTGCAGTTGGATGATTTTATGAACAATATTAAAATACAAAAAATACCTTTGAAGCTTTAAATTGAAGCCTGTGCCTCAAGATGGAGATGTGAACAGTCCTCGTAAGTTATACAACAGTTGATAAAAAAGTTTTTTCACATTGTAATTTGTTTTTGCAAACCACAATTGTCAAGAACAAACAATTATTAAATATTGAAGTATAAAAGAAAATTAAAAATTGAATTACAAAAGATTGACAAAAATTGAAGTAGAAACGATTAAAATATTTGGGGTTAAATAATTTGCTGATACAAATTAAGAAAACAAACTTTAAGAAAGCAAGAATCTGAACAAAGCAATAACAAAGAAGACAAGTAATAAAACTTCAAATCTTCTTTTACTGTTGCAAGAAATAGGGAAAATTTGTAAGATTAATGAAAAAAGTTCGCCATATTACGCTCGATAAACTTTTTTCGAGACTTTCAATTTTGTCTTTATCAATAGATATTTGTTAGATTTCGACAACGTTTTTCTTTTCTCTCACTTGAGTTTTTAATTTAAACCTTTTGGTTAAGAAAAGTTTTTGAATAATTCTGTCTCTTTCTCTCTCTCTGTATATATATATATATATATATACAGAAGAGCCATTACATTATGACCACCCTNATGGTATAGCTATAGGCTATATATATATATATATATATATGGGATAGGTAGCGGGACACCATGTTTAAGTGTTCTTGAAATTAAAAAGTTATAAAATGAATTTTCACCATTCCGACATTTTGAGTCTGAAAAACTCGGAGGGCAAGTACATATGTATCCTCCGGGCAGTGTTGTTTCACATGTTCCACCATTTCTACAGATTCCAGGATTCTTATAACATATGTCTGAAAACAAAAATATTTGGTATAATGAGAATTCCACCATGTTCCACCATTTCTAAAAATTTAATTATGTAATAAAATAAAAAAATTGTAATTATGTAATAAAGGAAAAAAAATTTAAATTACGATTGTAGTCTCGAATATACAAACTATTGGGAAAATCTCTTGCATGAAGTAATTCCAGTGAAACTGACCAGCAATAAAATTTTTATTTGTCTCAATTAAAGCAATTTTTGAATTAGTTACCTGTAAGTGACATATGCTTGCATAATTAATCAAATATGAAATGGTATTTTATTTAGCGAAATTGAAATCGGTAATATTAAGTAATAATTCCTAAGTAAAACTCTATTTTGAAAATTGCATTTTAAACATTAATCATTCTCGATAAAATAATACAAATATATATAATACATATAATAAATATATGTAATACATAAAATAGGACAAATATATGATAAATAAATCAAATTTATGATAAAACAAATTTAGAATGAAATATATGCTTTTTTATTACTTACTTTTTCCGCTTCTTTTATTTTAACTTCTGAATCGAAAAATTAAGAAGAATAAGCATAAATAATAAAATAACAAATTTTTCCGTCTTTTTTTCATTCAATTTTAACTAAAATGTGTGAAAAAATATTTTTTTTTATGCAGGAAATTCTTACAGTTTTGATTGAAATCCACCCAAAACAAATGTCACTTTTATTCAGAAATTTTATTAATTCTTCCATGGAAAAGAAGAAAAAAAATACACACATTAAATGACTGGGAAATTTTAAGTAGCTAAGTCACAAAACAGTTATTGAATACGTTAAAACAGTGCTTTATAAGTTATGTAAGTATTATTAAGATTGGTGATTCCCGATATAAATATTTGTTTGAAAAGATGTTAGCTTTAAAATTGTTAAATAGGGAATTTCATAAAAGTAAATTTTTTCAATAGAATAAGTTAAAATTTAATAAGCTTTGCACACTATTACAAAAATTCGTTTTAGAATTTATATAGAATAGATATTTTTCATTATTCTATCATCTATTTTTCTTAAGTGTCAACAATGAATAATATTGGGCGTAGACTCTGCATGTTATTTTTCCCATATCAAGGGAATTCAAAAAGGTATTTAAAGGGTATTCAAAAGATCAAGAAAGAAGGAAAGATTCGAAAACAAAACAAGTGCATAATTTTTTTCTGTATAGTTGGTATTAAAAGAAAAGGAAAATTTATTTAAAATTTGCTATTTATGTAAACAAGTCTGGCACTGGACTATGTGACTTAGTATTACGTAAATAAATTGCTTCTATATAACGGTAGTTATAATTCATTCACATATGCGATTATATATAATTCACGAACCATGACTCTTTCTATAAGGACTTGTACTTTCTCAATATTTAAAAACGGATATACTTGTTCACTTACGGGGTAGATTTTAAGTTGTATCAATTTAAAAATCTACCCCGAAAATGAACAAGTATATCAGAAATGGTCGCCACATAGCATAGACAATCAGGAAATAGCCTCTCAGGGAAAAAAGCACTTATGAAGAATACTTACACCTACTCCTACTTGTTAGAACTCCCAAGCAAGTAACTGCATATTTTTAAAAGAAGGAATATATATATTGGTATGAATTCAGGTGACTAATCCTGGCAAAAACAGACACCAATATGGAAATGTCCGCTGCTTACAAATTTACCTTCTCATATACATCATTCTACATGCCGATAAAAAGAGATATAGCTTACTATTCGATGAATATTATATAGTTAATTCCTCAGTGCCCAAATTTGGTTTTCCTTAATAAGTAAGTTCTATAAACTGAAGGTGGTTGGGAACTTAAAAGTTTGCCGTTTATTGTTCGCACTGTTCGATTTTCGTCAACAATGCATAAATGAAAATTTTCTTAGCTGGAAAATTTTATACTCTGTTCGGGGAAAATTGATTGCGTAAAGTGAGCATAAAGACTTGATGATTTTTTTCGTATATCTTTTCATTTTCATAAAACTTCACAATGCCTACTACTGCCAGTCGCGATTATTTTCACATTGAACATTAGTTAGATTAGTACTGTTTGTGGTAACCTTCGCGCCAATCAGCCAAAGCTAATACTCAGGTTGCTTTGTTTACTTTTGCTATCAGTTTTAATAATAGTTCATCAATTATCATCAGTTTTTTGCCATCAGTTTTCAGGATATAGTAAAGATAATATGCATATCATTATTTTTTGACTCAGCCTCTAAGAACCAAAATAATTTGAGAAACTTGTGATTTAAATGCATATACAATTCTGGGGATTTATTATACGAAATAATTTAACAATCTAGAAATTAAAGTAATTAATGATCTGGATGTGAAATGAAATTAACATAAGTATACTGTTTGTACCTACATACCAAGTTTAATATTATAATACAATTTTATTCCGTTTGATACACTTTACATTCCAATTTTATATCTTCAGAGAAACTGGATCCCATTTACTCAATTTTACTTTACACATTAACTCTCTTTTAAACTTTGAAATGTAATTAAGCTTAAGGTAATTAAGCTGGTTGCTTTTTGCATGGAAAATGAATTCTAATTCTTATTCAATGTAATTACACCGACCAGAATAAATATTCAAATCAGACTTTTTTAAAAAGTTGTCAAATACAAATTACTACAAAATTATGAAGAAAAAAAATTGTCAAATTTTTCCATTCATACGCGTACAAGAACGTTTTACAACAGTCTAATCTTGCTCAGTTTTTAACAAATATTTTTCAAATTTTAAAGCAATAATTTTTTAATTAATTTTAAATTGCTTTGCAATTTTTTTTTAAATTTCATTAAATATTTTATGGCAAAAAACGTACAGAAAAAAAAATTTCCCCCCAAAAATGTCCAAATCTCTATAAATATTTAAGCTTTAATTTTATGCAGTCATTAAAAAAAAAGCCTAAATAATCGATACAAATTACACGTTATTTACTTCATTTTTGTCATAGGATTGGAACCTCTGAAGCTACAAAATATTTCTGTAAATATTTCTTGAGAAATTTTAAAAAAAAGCTTAAAACTGAAAAAGCTTTTTCCATTATTGTAGAATAGTGTATATCTTCCATCAACTATTGTGTATATCAACTATAGGCAAGATTCACACAGGTATAGTCATAAAGTATTAGAATGTTTTGCCTCTTATTATTCTTTTCACTGAAGCTAATTGAACAATTCCGATAATTCTTGCCCCGACTTACTTAACATGCTAATCCAAAGATAGTTCCATTGAAAAAATAATAATTTAAAGCCTTTAAAAGACTTTTAAGAATGTAATAATAATTGACAAAAATATTAAATTGTAAACCATACAAATTTTTGTATCATTATCAGTAATATTATAAGAATGTCAGTAATTTTATAAGACAAAATTTTATAAGAAATGTTTTTAAGAAATAAAAAACTTAACTTTTTAATTCTTTTTAACTCAACTATTCCATGAATTTGTTTCAAAATTCGAATTGAGTCACTTTAAATTAAATAGTTAATACATAGTGAGTAACTGTTAAAGTCTGATTTCGTAACTAAAAATATTATTTACACTAATTAATTATCTAATTTTAGGTCTCCGATATAAACCATTAAGTCTGAGACCTAGTACGTAAAAATTCGATCATTAGATTAAAAGTTGTTCAGGGTATTTTTTTTTAACTTTTATTTGATGCACAGCACGTACAGATGTAGGTCTATTTAACGATATGGATAATTAATAAAACTGAATAGAGATAAAAAAAATCTACATTAACGCTAAAATTTTTGTATGATTGATAGAGTCTATTAGTTTGGCAATTGAAAAAGTAATAGAGTTGAATTTAATTTGTACAGGAAAAGTTAATTAAACTCCTGTTTGTGAAAATTGCAACACCATGAAGGAATCGTCATAATTGATTGAAATTTACTACACAGTTGAGTGGTAGTGGTACAAATAAATGATTAAACTTTAAAAGCAAACAAACAATAACAAGAGATCGAAATCCGTATTTTGTGTAGCCACCACGCACCGCAATAAGCGCTTCTACACGACGTGGCATGGAGTCAAGCAAATTTTGAATGTCTGTCTGAGGAAAAGCATTCCATATAGTTTGTATGCGTACCCAAAGTTCGTCTATAGAAGCAACAGGACGAGGATCACGAGCGAGTCACCGACCAACGAAATGACGCACATGTTCAATCGGTGACATATCTGGGGAATACGCAGGCCAAGGAAGAAGCTGTACCTGTCGCAATGCAAGGAAGGATTGAACAGTCCTAGCAGTATGAGGACGGGCATTGTCTTGCTGAAATACAGTGCCTGGCAAGGCTTGAAGGAAGGGAACAGCTTGGGGCTGTAAAACTTCATTGATGTACCGGTTGTTGTTCAGATTACCCACAATTAGTAGCAATTGAGATCATCCATGATATGCTATGGCACCCCAGACCTTAACTCCGAGTGTTCGTCCACTGTGGCTTTCGATAATGCACTCCGGAAGGTTGCGCTCACCGGCATAGCATCTGACACGAATGTGGCCATCATGGTACCACAAATTAAAGCGGGATTCGTCAGAAAACACGGCACGCTGCCAATCAGCACGCCAGTTCCTATGCTGATTGGCCCATTGTAGCCGCAGGCGGCTATGGTTTAGCGTGATGGTGATCCTGTATAAAGGAGTCCTTGCGCACAGTCCACGCTGCAGTTGACGTTTACGAATTGATGAAGCACACAATGAAACACCTGTAGCTATTGACCACTGTGCTGTCAGTTGTCTAGAGGGAGCCGTACGGTCTGTCAGCACCATGCGGACCAGACGTCTATCATCGCGAGATGACGTGACATTTCGGGGTCCACTCCCGGATTTCCGAGTTGTCTGACACTCGTCCGCCCACTGCTTCCAAACACGCATCACTGTGCTTCTGTTACGCTGCACACGAGCGGCTACTGCACGATAAGACAATCCAGCTTCACGAAGGCCGATGATTCTCCCTCTTTCAAACTCCGCAAGTTGTTGAAATCTTGCTCTCTTTCGTCGAAGAGGCATAAGTAACGTCTGAGCTAACGTTTACCACTAGCAGATAACCACCGATAACCATAAACGCCTCGTTACAGCCGTCTATTTATTCGGATCCATCCGCCGTTCAGAGGGCGCTGCTCAGCATACGCATGCGCTACGGGTCTGAAATTCTAATCATTTGCATATTATGCTTTACTTTGCATTTCCTGAAAATTTCAGCTCACTCGTGTAAGTTCTTCATGGTGTTGCAATTTTCACAAACATGAGTTTATAATAAAAATTAATCGCGTTTGTTATTTTTTTAGTATATTGTTAGTATTTAATTATACAGAAATATAATTGATGTCTTCTTCATCGGATCTGTCACCTTGATGTCTATAATAACTTAGGGACAATGCATTTTAGCAGGATTATCATTTCTCATTTTTTTCCTTTTCACTTACAGTTCTAGCTTTAAGATAAAATAATCATAGAATAAGGTTTTTTTTAATACATTTGAGGACTATTTGCTACAGTTTGATGACATAAAAGAATCTTCATTGTAGTCACATTTGAATTGGTTGAGAAGGGTCTCTTGACCTTTATAACTTTATCAAAATTTACAGTCAATTAAATGTGTGGCATTTTGACGGTCGTTTAATAACTGAGTTTTTGGAAATGAAAAAAATATTGATTGATGCTGCCTATTGTTAATCCCACGATTATGGTCAATGGGCGTGCTCTCTACCATCTATTTTCGTTCCGTGTTTACAACATAGAACGGAGTCAAAATAATTTCAAAAGAAGATGCTTATAGTTAATCCCGTGATTATGGTTAATATGATTGCGCACTGTCCATCATCTGTTTCCACTCCATGTTCGCAATATAGTGTGAAGTCAAAATGGTTTCAGAAGTAAAATAAATAATTATAATTTAATGATCCAAAAATTATTGTTGACAGAGGATGATCATTATTATTTGAGAAAAGAAATATAAATATAGAATGAATTTTAAATCAAGTGACAAATTACCACTTCAATTTAAGATATTTAAAAAAGTTTAATTCAAACAATGAATATTAGTTTTAGCAGAGAATGTCTTAATTATCTGGTATTTCATGAAGATATTTTTGTAAAGCATGTTTATTGAAACTTCAAATAGATATTTTGTTGGATTATTGAATTTAGATTATTTAATTTTACCGATTTATATTATAACAAAATAGATTAAAAGTATACCATCTTTATCACAATTTCTTCCAGCAAATCCTGTAGTACATTTGCACTCGTAAGATTTATCTACATTTTTACACACGGCACCATTCATACACGGATTCGAAGAACAAGGAGTTTTTACAATATCTAAAAAATAAACAGCATAAATTTAAATATATCAATTCTTTTACATTTTATTAATTTTTTGCGAAATATAATAAAATTCAATAAAATAATATATAACGACTCTTAAGGCTACAGTAGACCTTCAAAATAGCAAAAATTTGTGAAAATTTCGTTTTTTGGTTTTTAGTGCATTTCGATGAAGTATTGATTGCTTTATCCCCTGAAAAAAAAATTTTGAATTTTGATAATTTTTTGAGTAGTTATGAGCTAGTTTCGTTTTCGTTACCTAAGCCACGCCCCTTTAGTTACGTTTTGCAAAACGAAACTAATGAATCTAAACTAAAGCGCAGAAGTGTTTTTTACCAACCAGTAAGTAAGAATTATCTCATTTTATTGAAAGTATTTCCAAAATTAAATTATTGACATCAAAATTTAGTTGGCAACAATATTTTCACTACGTCTATTGTTCTGATTTTCGAATTCCATTGTTAGTTTATATTTGATTTCGTTAGTTCCGAAGGTTTTTTATTCGATATTTATCACAAACAGCTTTTTTTAAAGCTAATTACAGTTTATATTTGTTTTGTTTCTATTATTGTTAATTTTTAGTTTCTTGTTATATTATTTCATTTACTTTTTTATTATGGATTTGTTATCTTCTAAGTGGAGGAAAATAAAAGGTCGTCCTTCTAAAAGGCGAAGGGCTGCTCTTGCCAATTCTAAAAAAAGGTGGTCAAAAGCAACTGAAGAAGCTTCAACTTCGAATATTGAAGCTGGAAAGGATTCAATAATATCTGAATTGTCTGCACAATCAATAACTCCAGAATCCAACTATGTGTTTGCTCACAAGTCTATGTTTGCAGAGTTGCTGCAAAAAATTCAATGCACTACTTGTGGCCAATGTGCATTGGAACTAAGGCAGAACAATTCATTTGGCTTTTCCGTCAAATTAGAACTGTTGTGCAGTTCTTGCAACAAGTCCTATGGGACAACTTTTTCAAGTGTACGGAGTGACACTGATCGAAGTTTTGATATAAATAAAAAACTTGTCCAAGCATTTCTTTCGATGGGAAAAGGTCATGCTTCCTTAGAACAGTTTTCTGGAGTTTTAAACATGCCTTCCATGGATAAAAAAACATTCAACAAATTCTTGCACAACATAGCAAAAGATAACTACAAATTAAAACAAAAAATGTTTGAAAACTCAAGGCTCATTGTGCNATGTATATATATATAATAACGGTGTAACCACACCGTTATTTTTTAGTTAGTTAGTAGTCAAAGCAGCATGATTAACGAGTCCATATTGTGCATAATCTTTTTATTTAGTAGCCATGGTGAAAGCATACATCTTAGCCCCCTCCCGCTGGAGATGGAGGGTGACCCATGTCCCGTCTAAGCTGACGGATTTTATTTAAGCATGATAAACAACAAAAAGCACACGCAAAAACATTGCTCCTGCATTTTATAGGATGATTAAACTGTGTGAAGAGGTTAGTCATATTGCCTTCCTTGTGCATTCTTACGCCTCATCAAATTATTTATTACTCATAGCAAATCGTTTAATCTTTCCTTATATGGAAGTGAAAGATCTTAAAATAACTTCTCTTTTGAAGTATGAATCTAATTATTATTCATTGGCATGTTTTTAGCCTTGAAGTCCCCTACCCTTATCTTTCACTAAAGATATTTTATGAAAACGAATGAAGTTTTAATGCTTTTATTAATACAAAAGTTTTGTATTACATCCCCCCCAAAAAAATTTTTTTGGTAAGCCAAGAAAAAAATTTTAAAATACTATGAATATATAAACTTTATGTTGGTATGACTGTCCTCTTTCTTACAAATAACCTTTTTTCAACAATGTTTAACCTTAACATTTTGAGAAGTTTGCTGTCTAATGTGCAAAGATAAGTTGTCATTGTTGGAATTAGCAGAGGTGATCAATCTCTTACCAAATTAAGTAACAACTGGCTCGACACAATCAATAAACAAACAAAAATCTTTGCAAGTTTACAACCCTACTAAAGCATATGGTAAATCAGTATCAAGTATAAAAACTTAACTGAGTTAAAAATTTCGCCTATCGTAATAAGGGAAACTCACAAATTTTGCTAAGTGTTAACTGTCCTTTTGTTTGGGTAACATTTAAGTTTTCACATTTTTTTTTGAGACATTTTATGAAAACGAATGAAGTTTTAATGCTTTTATTAATACAAAAGTATTTAATTTTTGTATTACATATATATATAGTTATATAGTTATAAAATGAATTTTCACCCTTGCGGCACTTTGAGTCTGAGAAACCCGGAGGACAAGTACATTTGAATCCTCCGTTCAGTGTTGTTTCACATGTTCCACCATTTCTACAGAGTCCAGGATTCTTATAACATAGGTCTGAAAACAGAAATATTTGGTATAATGAAAAATAAAGGAAATAAAATTATTTCGTAAAATTAAAAATATATAATAAAAGAAAAAATTAAAATTATGTTATAAAAGAAAAAAAAATTAAAATTGTGATTGAAGTCTCGAATATACAAACTATCGGGAAAATCCCCTGCATCCTAGCTCAAGTAATTCTGTGGAAACTACAAGCAATAAAATTTTAATAATATTTAATTTGTCTTAATCAAAGAAATTTTCAAATTAGATACCAGTAAATGACGCATGTGAGCATAATTAATCAAAAATGAAGTGGCATTTTTCAAACGAAATTGAAATCGGTTCTATTAAATAATAATTCATTTTCAAATATTGCATTTTAAATTTTAGTCCTTATTTATAAAATGAGACAAGACTTTGATTCATATCTTCTGGTTCAATTTAGATAGAAAATTGCAAGAAATATTGAGATCAGATATGTGGGATTTCTGAATGACAAATAAGATGTCTGAGTAAAATTTTGTTGATAAATAAAACAAATTTATGACCAGGGCTGAAATTCCTTATATAGCAAGACGGAAAAGGGTAAAAACTGGTACGAAAGACATTTCATTCTAGTATTTTTTTCAAGAAAAATAAAATATCTGTAACTATCAATATTACTTTTATAATTTCAGCATATATATAAAACTGCTTCGTTTCTGAAATAAAGTAGATATTGTTGCATAGCTTAAAAAAAGAATAAGTAAAATTCTCCTGAAAACTCGCAATAACTGAAATGGTTTTACTAATAGCCTTTCCTCTTTTCCGTCTCGCTTTCACCCCTGTTTATGATAAGACAAATTTAAAGTACAATGTATGCGTTTTTATTTACTTTCTCCATCTTTCTAGTTTTAACTTTCTAATTGAAAAATTAAAATAAATAAACATATGTAATAAAATAATCATGAATGTCCATTTTAAAAAAACATGCTTATTTTCAGGAACTAATTTTAGGGTCTGATCTCGTAACTAAAAATATTATCTGCACTAATTAATTATCTAATTTTAGGTCTCCGATATAAACCATTAAGATTGAGTCCTAGTACGTGAAAATTCGATCATTTTGATTCAATTAGATTAAGAGAAAAATTTAGATTCATTCGTTCAATTAGATTAAAAGTTTTTTAGGGTATTTTTTTTTTACTTTTATTTGGTTTCACAGTACGTACAGATGTAGGTCTATTTAACAATATGGATAGTTAATAAAACTGAATAGAGATAAAAAAATCTACATTAACGCTAAAATTTTTGTATGATTGATAGAGTCTATCAGTTTGGCAATTGAAAAAGTAATAGAGTTGAATTTAATATGCACAGAAAAAGTTGTTTATAATAAAAATTAATCACGTTTGTTATTTTTTTAATATATTGTTAGTATTTAATTATACAGAAATACAATTGATGTCTTCTTCATCGGATCTGTCACCTTGATGTCTATAATAACTTAGGAACAATACATTTTAGCAAGATCATCATTTCTCATTTTTTTTCCTTTTCTCTTACAGTTCTAGCAATAAGATAAAATAATCGTGGAACAAAGTTTTTTTTAAATGCATTTGAGGACTATTTGCTACAGTTTGATGACATAAAAGACAGAATCTTCATTGTAGTCACATTTGAATTGGTTGAGAAGTTTCTCTTGACCTTTATAACCTTACCAAAATTTACAGTCAATTAAATGTTGGGTATTTTGAAGGTCGTTCAATAACTGAATTTTTTGAAATGAAAAAAAAAATATTGCTTGAGGCTGCCTATGGTAAATCCCGTGATCATGGTCAATAGGCGCACACCCTACCATCTATTTTCGCTTCGTGTTTACAACATAGAACGGAGTCAAAATAATTTCAAAAGAAGATACCTATAGTTAACCCCGTAATTATGGTTAATATGATTGCGCACAGTCTATCATCTGTTTTCGCTCCATGTTTGCAATATAGTATGAAGTCAAAATGTTTTTAGAAGTAAAATAAATAATTATAATTTACTGATCCAAAAATTATTGTTGATAGAGGATGATCTTTATTATTTGAAAAAAGAAATATAAATATAGAATGAAGTTTTAATCAAGTTCTTTGAAAAATTGCATTTTCAATTTAAGATGTTTAAAAAGTCTAATTCAAACAATGAATATTAGTTTTAACAGAGAATATCTTAATTATCTTGTATTTCAAGAAGATATTGTTGTAAAGCATGTTTATTGTTGGACTGAATAGGCGAAGAATAATTGAAACTTCAAAGATATATTTAGTTTGATTATTGAATTTAAATTATTTAATTTTAACAATTTTTGCAATTTTTATTATAACAAGATAAATTAAATGTATACCATCTCTATCACAATTTTTTCCAGCAAATCCTGTAGTACATTTGCACTCGTAAGATTTATCTACATTTTTACACACGGCACCATTCTTACACGGATTCAAAGAACAAGGACTTTTTACAATATCTAAAAAATATACAGCATAAATTAAAAAGATATCAATTTTTTTAAACATTTTATTAATTTTAGTGTGAAATATAATAAAATTCAATAAAAGAATTTATGACGACTCTTTATCTAATTATTGGATGTTTTGACTAAAGTTGTTTGATAGAATACTGAAAATTCGGATTCAGTGACCTAAACAGAACTATCATTATTTTATAGGATAGTAAGATATACTAAGATACATACTGTTCCGATTTTGTAAATATGTGTGTAATTTTGCGAATATTCTTTTTATATGAGGCTGAATATCTCAGACGGACCCTAAATAAACAGTTTAGTAAGAAAGTTTTAAAGAAATAAGCGTAATTCCAAAGTACTTTAGAAGAGAAGTAGGCCTAATTCATTTCTTATAGAAGACTCAGCGTCATCTTTACCGACTAGGCGATAATCTTAATAATTTAGCGATGCTTGGCAACAATTTTGGCGGCAAAATGATAGTTATGGAAAATTGGAGTTTTGAAGCAATAGGACTAAACTTTTTACGGACTCATACCAGAAATATATAGAATTTGGCCAAGATCTAGAATCATGTCGAAAGTTCCAGAGTTTCTCGCCAAGCATATATAGATAGGGAAGAGCCTCGCAGGGTGGAGTAATAGAGAGTATTAGTCTGCTTGTGACTGTACTTGTGTTCTGACCTGAATTATATCATTGACTCGTCTGAGATTATGAAGCTTTCGTTTTGTTGTGTAGCTATCTGTTGTTACGCTTAAGTTTTTTAATGGAGCATAATTTTGCTCTGTTAGTTCTTCTGTTGTTTCTGGAAATACGTTAAAACTTGATCTAGAATTTATTTCTAAAATTCCTTCCTTATTTCACGGTCGGTGCCAGATATCTGTTAAAAACGGCATTTTTTTTCATGACTGCAAAATAGCTAAATACAAAGAATTGAAATATAATATACTTTTCAATCGAACACATATTATACAAGATATAGTTCTAACATAACAATGTGTGTATAAATCAAAGCAAATGTTTGCATTTTTCAGCATGTTTTAAACCCTTTTTTTAAAAAAAAAGATGATTGAGGATATATGGAATAAATGTTAGGATGTAGATTGATTTACATAAGACTTTGCTAAGAAGGCATTAGCAAATAGTTTACTTTATAATTTTTTCATCTGATATATTTAAACTGTTATAGACATTTTATTTATTATTTAATTATCAAATAACTGTAAATATAACTTAAATGCATTGGCAACGTCATTAGTACAAATTTTTGACATTTTCGACAGACTGGTTGAAATTTTATTTTATTAACAACTTTGAACTTGAAAACCATGTAGTGTCTTTTGAATTTTAAATTCCACATCCTGGTAAATTAGACTCCATAAAATGTAGTAACTTCTTTTAACTCCTACATTCTCACTTGGGCTGAAGGGTCAAAAAGTTCAAAACAAGATATTTCTTATTCCCGGAATCATGTTTATTTCTCAATCTGGAACTGGATGGAACAGATACCCGAAACCGGCTAAATAATGATTATATATACGTATATACTAATTTCGTTGAGAAGAAAATAAAACACAATCTTTTTAATCACGCTTGTTACAGTTTCCTTTGTGACAAACTGTCACAATTTCACATACTGTCATTGTTTCCCCATTTCTCTCCCCTTTAAATCTGACATAATTTGAGAAAGGTACCATATTATTATAAGTATATTACTATTGCTGCTACTAATTTACTTCATTGTAAACGAAAAAAAATAACAATTAACAATCATTTTTCTTTGTTTTTGATTTGTTCGTATAATGTTAATGCATTTTTAACCACTTCTTGAGACATTTTGTTGAAAATTACCGTTACAAGTACTTCCTGCAAATCCTTCCAGACATTCACACTTGTACTTCCCTGGTGCATCATCAACACAAGTGCCACCGTTTTCGCAAGGATTATTAGTACACGGTCCTGAAAAATATTCACCATTTACCTTCCAGTTACTGCCTTTAAACAAAATAAAATTTTCCTCCTAAAATTTCGAAGCTAAATGACGAAAAAATTTTAACTTGTAATAAAAAATTTATAATACTATTTTACTCCACAAAAGTGCATTAAATGAATATGGATCCTAATAATTGCTTCTGCCTCTCTTTCTTAATACTAATTCTTCTCATTTTGCATCAAACATATTGGGTTACAAATTAATGCTTCCTAACTTGAACACGGATTCTTTTATTTTGCAATTTTATTTTAGTTTACAATACTTGACTGTGTAGCAGTATAAACGTGGTTGACTGTTATGTGCAATTAAAATGTCACTGAACTATTTCTGCATAGGTATTAAAACAACACGATAACTGAGAAAAGTGAAAAAAAATGAAATCTTTTTGGCTTAAGACATAGTGTTTTGTAACTTTTAATAATAAAAAACAACTTCAACAGCAATAGAGGTGAAACGATCTCAGCCTTACATGAAAGAGGCTCGTTTACTGAAAAAATGGTTTCGGGCTTGAGTAGGATCGGACTTATGATATAATTTCACATTCAATTCGAGATTTTCTCTTCGTTTTTATTTTGAAATGTGCATTAGTGTTAAAAATGTTTCAATGACTGATTACTTTGTTTAGAACTAAAGAACTGATTATAGAAGCCGCAAAATTTGGAAAAATCGGAACTTGTAAAGCGAATTGTGCTTTGTCTCTTTTTAAACATGTGTAAAATCCCATTTATCAGAAGAGTTGGCTCAAATTCTACCAGTTTGACACCAATCATTTCATATGGTAACTAATAAATATTTAATGAGCATTAAAATATATAATTTATTTTTAGAAAATGAATGTTAAAAATAATGCTTTAGAACAAAATATTTAAAAAAAATAATAGCGCACTTTATTTGCGAAAATAGCAAAACATCAGAATACTTTAAACTCATTATAATTTAACAACAAAAAGATCTATTTAAAAAAAACTTTAAATGATTGAATAATTGAAATATTATTGAGATATTATTGAGGGATTCAGAATCTTCAACTGCCCACCCCCCACTTGCAAAATTATTAGAACCGAGATTTCGGCTACCACAGTCTCTTCATACTTTGCGGCTCTAAGATTTTAATCCTTTGTAAAAACTATGTTTAGTTAGAGAAAGTACCGTTTTGTGTTTAGTTCTACAAGTAAAGCATAAAATATCGTCTGCACTATTTAATTTGCATTTTTAAAGTTAGGCCCTCGAATCACTAATATTGATCACTAGTACACAAAAATCCAATCATTAGATAGAATACTGTTCAGTTTGTTAACGCTTTTTATGAATTTTATCAATGAAATCAGAATGTACAGATATTTAATTAGATGTAAATATGATAAATCAAATTATTATTGCTCCTAAAATGTGACTAAAAAAAAAGATTCACAACATATTTTGCCCATTTTCGAAATTTTAAAAAAAAGTCACAATCATATTCACAATAACTATAAATAAAAGTCACAATAATTAAAAAAAAGTCACAATCATACTAAGCTGGAATAAAACACTCTAGGATTGCATGGAGCAAACATCAAAGCCCCCATTACTTTTACTGAAATTTTTCTTTTCAATCAATATAATTATGCATTAGAACAACTACATATTTACGATTTTTGCTTTTTTAAAAATATACTTAATTAAAAAAAATTTTGTTCATACATTACCTACACATTTTTTATCCATTCCATTTCCTTTTTGCGTGTACCCATTTGTGCAAGTACAAAACTTTACTGTCCCTGAATAAGAATAAGTGCAGTTCCAGCCTTCGCCACAATTACAAGCTGAAATATTAAAGTTGAAATTTAAAATATAAATATTTTTAAAAACTTGATGTCTAAAAACTTATAATACAAAATAATCTTGCACCCGATATTTAAATATAATTAATTATATTTAGTCTTTATGTAAAGTCCCAGTAATTACATATAATTCCATTACAAACAGTACAATCTGACGAGTCCATATCAAGCGTCTTAAAAGTCATGTTATTTATTACTAGTATTAATTAATGCATATTTCTTTAACGCTGCATTCAATCCAAACTGTATTTCAAAGTATCGCCATTGGCAATTAATGTCTCCTGTGGTCAAGCGTAATAATTCCGTAAAATTAGTCAAAAACTTGACCAAACCCAAACATTCAAAATAGCAAGCTATTGGGAATTGTTTTATGGGATCTCAGAGAGCAGTACATAAAATCCCGAAATATCCTGTGACGGGTTTTGGCAGAAGGGGGTTAAAGGGAGGCAGACACTTAAATACTGATATTTAAACAAATAAGATATAGTTCTCGATTATTTTTTTTCCACGCTGAATCGATGGGATGAATAATTTAGAAGATATATGGATTTTCTGTTCAAAATGCATTTGTTTATACTTATACATATGCCGACCAGGTGGCCGAGGGGCTAGCGTGTCTGACTGCGCAGTCATTGGCCGCGGGTTCGAATCCTGCTCAGGGCATGGATGTTTCTTTCTCTCTCTATGCCATTTCCTCTTTGTGTGAAAGTGTGAATGTGATCCACCCCATAAACGGGTTTGTGGTTGTGTATCGTGGGCGACGCTGCTCCACCGCCGTGGCTTCGCCACAGGTGCCCACTGGGTAACGAGAAGAGAGTAGCAGTTTTGGCATTTCTGTGGCCAATGGGACAAACCTCATTATAAAAAAATACTTATACATATTTATGTAACTCACATTGCTATCTAGACAAGCAAAATATTTCTTCTTACGAAGTTATTTAGGGTAAATTAAATGTGACTACAAACAAGTCTATAGAAATAATAATTTAGAAATTACTACCTTTTTATGTATGAAAATATCTTCTGTTTGTACTTATTTTTAGTGATTTGACTTGAAAGTATCTTCAAATGATAGTTTTAGAATTCCATTGCTGATATGAAAATAAACAAAAATGAACTTACAGAGAAAGTATGCTTTTATTTTCGTCCGGGGAAATAATAATGTTAGAATAACTAATTTAAATTAGGCGAAATATCGTGTATCTAAAAAATGTATTTTACCAAAATGTAAAAATAGGTTTTCCATGTGCGTCGCCGGAATAAGTAATGGATAAAGTATCATAGGTTATTATTCAACTAACCAAAACTTTATTTGGTAATACTACCATTAGCATGATTTCAGGACTATATTGCTGTTGATTCACTGCATTTTAAGCCATTAAAGACTAGAAGTTCTAACGTGAGCTAACGGAAATGGAACGGAGATTCCCAATTTTAATGTAAACTGGGAAGGTTTTGTTTAACAAACGTCCAATACAGTACAATGAACACTCACTTGGAACCAGAAACTTAGTGGAAACTTAGTTTATAAAATTATAAAATAAACTTACATAATTTACATATAATGTTTCTTACTTTTATTTCGATACTCTGAACCATCTTAATTAAAAGTTTCTAAATATTTTATCAGGTTTAATTCATGTGGCAAACACATTTTTTTTTATATTTTGAATATTTTGATATCTTTTTCATTAAGCTTTATATAGTAACATCTATATANAATATTTTATTGATGCTAGTCATACTAATGTCCAAAGACGCCTCTATCTCACGGTATGTCACATGACGATCTTGCTTTATCAGTTCACGCACAGCATCGATCTTTTCTGGCACAACAACGGATTTTGGACGACCTGCACGGTATTCGTCTTGGATCGAACATCCACCATGATTAAATTCGTTATGCTAATTTTTTACAGTGCTGTAGGATGGCGCTTTATCACTGAATAAAGAATTAAGTTCATCGAAGCACTCTTGTCTTGACAATCCACGTCGAAAGTTATGAAAAATAATGGCACGAAAATGTCACGATTCAATTCCATTTTTTGAAAGAGAAGAACTTTTCAATTTAATGTCAACAACACAAATGAAGCTATAATGGTAAATCGTCTGCTGAATTTATGTTTAAAAATATCAAACTTTCGATTAAAATCGTCTGCGGTCGCCTAGCAACACTTACTGTTGCCAAGGCCAGAAATATAAATAGCAACCCTCGTAATAATGTTAGAATAACTATTTTAAATTAGGCGAAATATCGTGTATCTAAAAAATGCATTTTACCTAAATATAATAATAGGTTTTCCATGTGCGTCGCCGGAATAAGAAATGGATAAAGTATCATAGGTTATCATTCATTTTTAACTAACCAAAACTTTATTTGGTAATAGTACCATTTGCATGATTTCAGGAGTATATTGCTCTTGATTCACTGCATTTTCAACCATTAAAGGCTAGAAGTTCTAACGTGAGCTAACGGAAAGGGAACGGAGATTCCCAATTTTAATGTTAACTGGGAAGGTTGGAACCAGAAACTTAGTGGAAACTTAGTTTATAAAATTATAAAACTTTTTTTTAGGGAAAAAAAGTTTATAAAATTATAAAATTAACTTACATAATTTAATTATAATGTTTCTTACTTTTTTTTCGATACTCTGAACCATTTCTTAATTAAAAGTTTCTAAATATTTTATCAGGTTTAATTCATGTGGCAAACACATTTTTTTTATACTTTAAATATTTTTTATGTGTTTTTCATTAAGCTTTATATAATAAATATATATATATATATATATATATATTAGCTGTACCCTGCGTGCGTTGAAACGCTTTCAGTTTAAATNCTTATATATATATATATATATATTAAAAAACAATGTGTTCTTCTTAGGCACTACAGCGGGCATTATAGCTGCTTTAGTTCTTCCCACGATATCGATATGACCTGCAAATGCTAGCAGTTGCAGACAACAAAAAATGTGCTCCGCGTTTGTATGCCTGAGTCTCGAATTGCTTTCTCTGGCATTATATTAAACAGAGTGCACAACAGGGAATCTCTCTGTTTCAATCCCTTTTCAGTATACAGAACTTTGCTCTACAGATCTTTGCTCTACATTTTACACTATTATCTTTTGAGGTAAACCAATTTTTAGGGACTCCAAACTTTGAAATTGCCTGCTTCAATTTTTTTTCTATTGATGCTATTGTAAGCTGTCCTAAGGTCAATAAGGAGATGAAAGGTATCTATGTTAGATTCTCTGGTCTTTTCAAGTATTTGTCTAATGCTGTGTATTTGATCTGTTGCATCTGCCCTTTTGAAATCCACACTGGTGATTCCAAATTACTCTGCTAGAGTAAGAAGTCTTGACCGGATGTTTTTCAATATCTTGTATGGTGTATTCAAGAGAAAATTTTTCTTTATAGTTTATACAGGTCAGCCAGTCTCATTTATTGTATATTGGATGTATGGGACCATCTTCCCATTTAAAGGGCATTTTTTCCACTGTCCATACACGAACTATAATGGGGTGTATTTCTTTGATGAGTTTAGGCTATTTTATGTTCAGGAGAACTTTGATGCCATCTGGTCTGAACGAACTTTTTTATATATAGTTTATTTATTTCTCTTTCAACTTCACAAAAAAAGTCAATTCTAGTTTTCCGTCTTCTGGGGTTCTGAGTACATCTTCTTTTGTTCCCTCTAAAGTATCTTTTCCTTCAAGAGCCCTTTCGAAATGTTTTCTCCCTCTCCTTAGTATTTCAGTATTATCGTTAACAAGTTCTCCATTTTTGTCACGACGCACAGTGGGACAAAATCAGAAAAATGCTTGCCAAAATTAGAAAATTGACTTCAATGTTCTAAAAATTTATCACCTATAGGTTTTTTGGGTCGCTGATTTCAAATATGAAGTCAAAATTTCAAAAAAAACAAAATGGCGGATGATTATTGAAAAAATTATAAATAAATAAATAAAAATTATTTACTAGTAGTTTTTGATATCTTTGATTACAAATTTTTGATTAATAATTTTAATAAATAAAGTAATGGATTTTTACATCCATTACATCCATCGCAAATATTTATCAAAACAAATTTAAACTAAATAAATTAAATCGAAATATTTAAGATTGTTAATTGCGAATTCGTTTATCGAATTTAAAAAAAATAATGAATCTATTTTGCTAGATATAAAAAATTTTGAAAATTTTATAACAAAAATAATAATTTCAAGTTTATTTTTATAATTTTTTCATTAAATTTATCATTATTATAAAAATGGCACGACTATAAAAATCGATATATCAGCCAAATTTGCAAATATTCGCAGCTAAATTTTTTTTTAGTTCTTGAGTATATATACCAAACAAATGTGAAAACAATTTTTTTCCTCGGCAACGTGAGGCTTTTTTTTATAGAGCACTTTAAAGTTACAATTTAATTGTACAGGGCAGAAAAATGGAAATGGCTCTGGATTTAATAGTATTTATATAAAATAATGAATTCATATATATCTTAGAAATACATTTATGTATAGATCATGCATAGTTTTAATATTTTTATTTATTATAAGGATTTATCATATTAATAAAAATTTAACTGAAAAATTTAATTTTTTTATTTCGACTTTGTTTCCATTTAATTGCTATTTCCATTAATAAACCAAAAAAAGCAAACAAAATACACCGTCATATTCCTTGGACATTTTACTACAAAAAACCATATTGAGATTTTTTTTCTTATAGCCTCATTTTTTTAAATTTTTGACGGCGAAAAATGATTTTTGTTCCACAGTGCGACATGCGTGAGTTTTAGGGGGGAGGGGACTCTATTCTAGAGTTGTTCACTGCCTTTTAGAACGTTTTTCTCTTACTTCTGCTTAATATGGTGTTCTATTTCTATATATCGATATATCTCCTTCTAGTACCTTCTTTTCCTTTGTTAAAACATTCTTTTCTCTTGGCTTCTGATTTCTTTATACTCTTCCTCGGCACTTCCGATGTAATGCTTTCGTATCATCTGCCCATATACTCGAATTTTGCTTTCATTAGTTATTTCACATTACACGTCAAATCAGTTATTTGATTTCAAGAATATATATCTTACTTTTTTAAAATTCAATTTCTCTTCAATTCCACCGATTTCTCAAAATTACATTCTTTAAATTTATGTAAAAAAAAGAATACCTTACAATTCAAAATTTTCAGTTCCTTATTAAATAAAATATTAAAAAACAATATATATTTACTAAAAGTTATTTTTTATAGAATTATCCCTAAAAGGCACGAATTTCTTAATTTTATGCAAAAAGTTTTCCATTCGCTTAAAAAGTTTTCAGGATATAATGAAATACCCAAAAAGTGAAATTAACTTTACGGGGTCAAAACTTTGGAGCACTTTCTTTATTAAACAGTAAAGTCTAGATCAATTTTGCCTCAGTTCTCCAAACAATTAGACTTTAAATGTCTAGTAGATATAAAAAGGAACCTTGAAAATGCAGTGAACCCTGAAATCCAACTAAACAGACAATTTTCGTTTAAAACTATAATGTATATACCTCTCCGAAAATTGGGTGGTTAGAGTGTTGATGGAATTCAATGTGCAATCTTCACGTGTTTAGTTGTTCTGCTGTCGCATAATAAGTGAATCAATACACAGAGAAAATTTTAAAAAAAATTGAAAACTTCTGCCCTTTTTAAAATGTTCTTGTTAAAACAAACGTTTATGTGTTCTTTGAACGACAAATTTTTAAAAACTTAACATTAGAATGATGCAATGCATAGATATTTCAATAACAATCATGCGTTTTATCCAGCTATTGACACTCAAGCAGCTATTGTTAACCGATGAAGTTTTAAAAAAAATAATTCTTTTCAAAGTAATAATTACTAATTTATCAGAAACATGTATAAAAAGATTATTTTTATTGTTTTCAGTATAAAAAAAAATACCATTCTGAATTAAATTATTGGGTACTTAAAACCCAAGAAGACGAAAAAAATCTTGCTACACTGACACGTGACCTATAATCTCAAGACCAACTCGTTGTTTTTAAGCAAGATGACGTGTTAAAGTAGAGCTGAGTTTCTCTATATAAGTTAGAATCTAAATTAACGTCAAGTTAATTAAATACAATGCCGTGACGCATTATGAATTTGTTCAAATAAAATTCTTTCTTGTCTAGAACTTCTATTTAACATTGATTTGTTATTTGTTTATGTATTTTATTGCGACCATGATTATTTTTGTTCTGTATATTTGAACTTTGCAGCATAATTAATTAGTTTGTGATCTTCATGGCTTCGTGTCTGTCATCGAGTAAGAACAAAACCTAGTCGCTCTATTTAAAAGAATATATATAATGTTTCCTTTAAGAGAATTTATACTTCATAGGCTTGGCTTACTCGGAATAGAAAGGAAATACCAGGTTCTAACATAAAAAAATGGCACATTTTAACAACCAATCGGGATTGATGTACACGCATTGCGTTGTTTGCAAGCATCTAATAGTTAATAAATAAGGAGAAAAGACATGACAAGCGGGAACGATTAATTACCTACGCACTTCTTGCCTTTTTCTATAAATCCATGCATTGGCTTACATTTACAGACAGCTTTGCCATCCTCTTCAATGCAAATTCCATTTCCACATTCACATGCAGTGTCTATATCTTAAAATTAAAAAAAGAATGCATATAAGATATGACTTGTTAACAATAGTATAAAATTCAGCCAAATTTTATCAAACATCTAACGGGGATTTGCGTCAAATAATGATTTAAAACCTCTACACCGTAACAGAAACAATCAAAAGTTCATATTTTCTCATGAAACTCTACGCATTAAAATTAAAATAGGTTTTCACGCAATTAGTTAAGATGAGTTAAAAAAATTTCCCAAAAAATTTCGTCACTTCTCTGAAATTTCTTTGAACTAACTAAACAGGGAAGCACTCTCTCTGCCGAGAATCAAAATTTTGATGGCATATCTTTGTATCCTCGAGAATGCTACTATGGCTGTTGTCAATATAACTTTCTGTACCTCAAATGCGACGCAAATGTATTACGACTGAAAAAAAAACAAAAAATCAATTATTTTACAAAATTTTATTCTTCTGGTGCTTTTTTTATTAAAAAATTAACTCTCGGGAATCATTAAGGGAAATTGAAAGCAAGTTTCAGGACTTACTTGAAATTGTAAAATTGTTTTAAAAGAAGACATAAAAATTGTTAAATGTTGAATTTCGTAGAATAAAGCTGCAAACAGAGTTTTTTTCTTACTTTCAAACAAATTAAAGATAGTGTTAAATGAGATATTTATTAAGGAATATAATAAAGAAAAAATCACCAAGCAATTTAAAAGAACAAAAGTTAGTAACTATTTTCAATGCTTGTCATTCTCCATTTCTCATGAAATTATAATCAGTTGAAATAGTAACTTGATTGGAAGAGAAATATCTAAAAAGAGCAGGGAGAGTTACCTTGATAACCGAAGAAAGAAATTAAAATTTCTCGGAAGCGGGGACAGAAAAATATACTTTTATTTTGTTAATTAATGTCGATCAGTCAGAAAAATGTTATTTTTTCAAAGTGTAGAATGCTTTTTATGTTATTAAATTATTTCAATTATTCCATCAAGTTTGTTTTTATTTTAACTCTGTAAAAAAGAAAAGATTTTTTAGTCTACATTTGAAAAAAATGCTCTGTATTAGTATTTTGTTTTTAAAGTTTAGTAGTTTCATGCTTTCTTTTGATACTCAGTGAATATTTCAATGATTTCTGAAATTTTAAAAATAATTTCATTGCTTTCAATTCCTGGAAATTGGTTTCATCCTAAAATCCTTTTGACCTATGACTAAACACATTAAAGTCTATTCAATGCATATAGTTGCATAAAAATGTATGAAATTTTGCATTTTTTTATGTAAAGAGTAAAAAAAATTTCGCTTTTTTTAGTATTAAAACTGAAAAAAAAGTGTTTTAATTACATTTTTATACAGCCGTTTATTTATTTATTTTTCTTTTTTAGTTGTTTTACCTGCAGGAAAATCTGTATAAAAATGTTGAGTGGTAAAAATAGCAGGATATTAATTTTTTAGAAATTTTTTCCTACGGGCGTGATTTTTGCCTTATCATTTCATAGGTTTCTAGAGCTAGAAGTTCTTAAATGCTTGATTTTTTACATAATGCAATAGAATTTTTTTAAGTTGAGCATTGATTAAGAAAATGAAAATAAGCAAAGCGATTTAACTTGCATCTGAATTTCATCATCAATAGCGAACTTGATCAATAGTAAATGGAAAAGTTGATTCTGAGACACTTAAGTGGGTTTTTCTCTCTTAATTTTTTTTAATTTTTTTAAATTACTATGAAATTTTTATATTACAGTCTACTTAAGCATTACTTAAAAATATGAATATTATGATCTTTTGATATTTGGTTTAATATAGTTTTAATGTACTGCCAGAATTTGTGTTTATGAATGACAACGCCTATCGTTACTGAAATAACATCGCGAACACGAATGCCTACAATTTCAGGGTATCCCCTGTATGGAATGGTCAGCAAACACATATGATTTGAATCCAATAGAATATGTGTAGGACATGCTTGGCCAACAAGTTACAGAACATATCAACTACCTCTTACATGTATATGTACTGGAACTTCGGAGAACATTTCTTGCTGAGTGGAATGATCTTTCCCAATATCAGCTCGATAATTTGATACTCAACATTCCAAAGAGAGTATAATATTTAATTGTATGAGAGACATACAATGTAATAACCAATTAGATAAGAAAGGGGATATTATTGTAATTGCTCCAGAAAATAATAATTGTCATCCCTATGAATGTCGACACTATCTCTTTTGTTCTTTATTTCTTTTGGCTTTGTTTAACGTTTACTTTGTTTATGAACCTTGCTTCGCTAGAGCTGGTTTTTCTTCAATTTGAGGATGGACATGAGTATATATATATATATATATATGTATGTTTTGTTTAGTTCATGCAATCTTTCTTACTTTGCTATAAAGTTTAAGGCTTTGAGAGGTCTGAGCGACCGAAAATAATGTACGAAAAAAAAACAAGTATTTTTGAATACCCTAAGCCTAAAAATCAAACAATAAACTTGTATAAACTACCTTATTTGATATTTGCAATAATTGTATAAAATTTCTTAAATCTAGCTTAATCTTGTCAATACAGTATCAGAAAGCAATAATTTTGACGAATATAATCATGTGAGTTGATACTGGATACATTATTAGAGATTATAACTTTACAGTAATAATTATTATAAATTTCTATTTAGTTAATTTTTACATAACTTTAAACACTTCTTTATTTATTTTCATAAAATTTCCTAAGAAGTATTTGTCTTTCATTTTTTCGCGTTCTTTTTCTAATTTTCTTTGTGTTATCTTGTTTCGTGTGTTCTGTGGACTTGCAACTTTAGTACAGCAAATAAAACTTGACAATTTTATTTTTTTCTTCAAATTTTTGCATCAAAAATATAAAAGTAGGTAGACGGAATTGAAAACTGTTTGATTTTGGCCTATGAATGTAGATGAGAAAATGCAGATTATAATCTCTAGCACGTAAAGCAGCGTTAATTATAAGTAAGTAAGTTAGACAAAAGAAAACAATGATTTATGAACAATTTACAATACCTAAGATTCAAACAGTATATAATCATATTCCAGTCAATTACAGTTTACAATAGCTGCTCGAAAATAAGCAACATTAGTATTATATTAACGTAAGTAACAGTGTTATCTGTCAGCTTAACGCGGCATTTCCGCACACACATTCTTTTATGAAATTTATGAAATTTGCTTAATTAGGTCCTGCCTTTACACTTTTGAAATATATTTTTAGACATCCCTGTATAACGTTTATAACCTTTTTTATAGAATTTTACGTTAAATTTTATGAGACTCAAGCAAAGATACGTTTATTACATCCACATTCTTTTGACCAACTCATGAATTATGTCCGTTACAAGAATCCAAATATAAAACTAACAGCAAGGATTACGCTAAAGAAACTTATATGAAGTTTGTCGGTCGAATATTAGAGCATATTTTAGTTATCATATATTGTTAACAAATACTCTAAGATATTTATGATAGATGGCTAAATAAACAGTCGCTGGAAGCTAAGTTATTCGTATAATGCATTACAAAACTAAATACAATTTTACCGATATTATTAAAATACAAGTACATAAGGTATTATTTAATTAAAAGTATTTCACTCTTTTTTTTTGTTCTTTTTGAGCACGTAGAAATTTTGTTTTCGGAATTAATAAATGTTAGGATAATTAATAGAAAGGAATCTTTTTCACAATTCAAGATAAGAACTCTCACATTTTTACAGGAAACGGTCAAGATAAGTTCCTTTTCTTTTGATAACGCATCTTCTTAAGCAAAATTTTATCTTATTTAAAGTTGCTTACCTACACATTTACTTCCATTTTGAACAAACCCTTTCTTACAAATGCATGTTGTTTTTCCAAACCAGCCAGTAGTAATAATACATCCATGTCCTTTTCCACAATTGCATGCTGAAACATTCAAATATACTCCTAATCATCAGTAGAATAAAATATGGAAACTGAACTCTATAAAACTTGTCTTAAATTACCTATTTATATTTAATTACCTCTTTAAATGTTGACAAATAGTGAGAAAATAAGGAAGAACTAATCTTGGACTTACCCGTTGTTTGTAGTTACTAAGTTTGTAGTATCTGTTCTAGTTGTTTTCAAGTATGGCATCAAAACGTTCATAATTCATTAGTGATTTTTGACCTTCTCAATGCGGTTTAAGACCATTTGTTCTATTAAAGTGTTTCTCTTCTTGATGCCTCTTATCATCCCTCTAAATTTTTAAATTTGACTGTTTTTACTCATTTTATAATTTTGCTTTGGTGTTAATCGCAGTAATGGATGAGGCAAGCACATGGAATGTTAAAAATATAACTGCTTTTGCGTGCTGTAATTGGACTCTGCCTACTTGGGCTAGAAAATATGCATGTAAAAAAATTTTCCTGTCAAAATAAAGCTGTTGCAATTGGTAGCTTTTGTATACATTCTGGCTACACATGACATAATAAATGACATTGCATACAATTTATAAATCCTTGGGAGACAGTAGTATGATTATTATCAACAGTTTCAACCATGGCAACATTCAGTTCTGCTACAGATTGAAACTTTCTGCCATTGTCATATATAGTCCTGCTGAAGTAATTTTGCATATGATTTTGGGAGGGAGGGTAGAAACAAGCCAATTCATGATATTCATCTATTTTCCAAAAACTATTCCAAAGGAGATTAAAAAAATAAATTAAAAGGAGATTTTTCAACATAGATGGGGAATATGCTTAGCTGGATTATTGAATCTGGCTCACCAGTTCTCGAAGCAGATGGAGTAAATGTTTCTTTTTTTTTTTAGATTTTATCGGTCATCGGCAGTATTTATTGGGCTTTAAAGAAAAACCAACTTAATTTTAACGCATAGCTAAAGTATCTTTAAACCATCAATGATCCTCCATCTTGTTGTTTTTCTGATAATATTACCTCTTTTCTCTTCGTGTCATGCCTGCAGAACGAAAGATAACTAATTATTTTATGCAAATAAAATTTTAATCCATCCAAATATATTTTCTAGCATCTAAGAACATACATCATTTGCACTGGTCCATCCAAGTTTGATAATTTTTCACCCAATCCCTTCTGCTTTGCGTGTGCATGGATAGCAGTTCTTTTTTCTTCTTCTTGTTTAATTAGACCCAGATTGAAATCATCATCATTATTACTTGCGCTCTTTATAATCAGTAATAAGTTTTATTTTTATGTGGTTGTTAATCTCATTGACAAAGCGTTTGAGAAAAAAATTATCACGTGAGATACACGGCAAAATATTTTTTTCCAACCGGCCCTCTTTTATTTATATTCATTAAAACCATGCATCAATCCCAAATGCATCGCTTAATATTTCAAAATTATCCATTACTGTTTTAGACCACTTGATTTATTTAGTTATTTGTTTGAATGAAGCTTGTTCCTAAAAAGCTATTGTTTGGTATTTCTTGAAATTTGATTTCTGGATTCCCAGTCCTATAAAAATATTGTAAGGAACGACGAAGTAAAAAATTATGATGACTGTGCAACAATCCATAGAAATATGACAGACATTTTTACGCTCTAAATCACTTTTTATGTTACAGCCTGAATTTCTAGATTATTACTCATAATATTAAGAGGGTACAGACCTTATTTTAGCAGAGCAATATTTCACATCTTTTTATATATTCGAATTTTTCTGTCCTTCTGAGGGAGTGATTTACTCTTTATAATATGCATGTGAACTTGGATGTCAGATTTGTCAATATAAATGTCTTATATGGGTTTGAAAACAAGAACTGAAATTTCTGGGAACAATTGGAATTTTTCTGAAAAGAGATGCTTTGAAAAATTTCTCATACCGTCATGTTGGGGGATTTCCACCAATTTCAATAAGAAGTAAGCAGATTTTTCTACATTATATAAAAGATGCTATTTCATGCTAAACTACTATGCATTAGACGACAAATCTTTGAAAAAAATGCATATCAAGGATGTGTTTTGAATGTGACATTATAAATTGAGCTTTTAAAAATTTTTGAAATGTTTTGGAGACAAATTTGTAAAACAAATACTGTATATGAATGAAACACAAAATACAAAATTATACTATTGTATAATTTGTATATTTGTATTATATCTTTACACTGATATTTCAATATTTAAAAATAATTTTCTTCAGTATAAGGAGCAAGAAATAGTTAAATGTTTAACTTCGTTGTTCTTCTCTTAATTAAATCTCCTGTTATTTGCTGAAAATAAAATGTGATGTATAAATGGAAAATAACTAAATATCAATAATTAAATAAAAATAATTAATGTATTTAATTAAGTTTTGTAGTTACTGGAGATTGAAATTGGAAACTGCTCTTATTTTAAACACATTCGGCTTTTGCTTGAATGAATCTCTGTCATTATCCTGATTGTGCGAATTTCAAGCAATTATAATGAACAAAAATTAGTTGAACTATTTTATAAATAGAAACTGTACACTGTATGAATAGAACTGTATGTGTTTTATACTCTAAATCATATTATTATTTCTTGCATTGACCTAGTTTTTTTTTCTTTTTTCCTTTTTTTTAGAATTTTATACACTTTTTACTGTAAATGAGTAATTGCAAGAAACCAAAGCTGTACTAAAGATATAATTAATGATTTACTTCATAAAACACGAAAACAAGTCAGCATTTATTTACAAGAATAGACTTACCGGACTTGAATGAAGAAAACAGAAGGGATTTGAAATAGAAACCGCAAAGTTGCCAATCAAAATCGGATAAATAAGGGGAAAAACAAAACTAGGAAAATTGTAGTTGCCGCGAGTAACGAATCAAGTCAAAATGTATTTTCATAGACTATTGGAGCTAATGAAGAATAACATGCATTCACAGATTCTAGTACTTCAACATGTACTTATTTAACAGGGGGTAAATTTTTTTCGGTATTATCGAAATTTAATTCATGCCTAAGATTCTAACAATATGCTGTAGATGTACTCATTGTCGGAGCACTTATAAATTTTTTTTTATTTTACTGCACTGTCATGGCACGCCTATATTAAACTTACATTTCTGTAATACAAATACAAATATTTATTAGTACAAAATACAAATATTTAATAAATAAGTATTACGTCTTAATTCAAAATTAGTACATAAATATTTGTATATTAATATATCATGGTAAACAGAAATATCTAGTTTCTGAAAAATAAATCGCATCTTTGAGAGGTTTTTGTTACCATATTTTCTTTCTGAAAGAAAGAACCATCCATTTAAAAGAACATTACAGATGTTCCAATGAGTTAATGGATACAAGATCAAATAGGAGTTGTCAGTTTTCACGGCTTAGTGTAATATTCAAGAAAGAAACACTTGAACTTGATGTTCAGGAAAAAGGCAAACGTTACACAAAATAAGGCGTGACATGTCCCTCCAAATAGTAGAAAGAGTATGTGGAATATTATGAATTTTTGCGAATTATTTCTTTAGCTTAAAACGCTGTAAATAAACAATAAAATGTATACATATATTTTTATTTGCTTATCTTTCCTATCTTTTGCCCTTCTAAAATATTATGATGGCTATTATTTTGGTAGTTTTTCATTCTTAAATTTATTTAAAGGCATTAGATTAATAATGAATCAATTAATATTGAATTATAAAAATTCAGATAACTGCATATTTTCTCAAAGCTTAAGTTCTTCTTGACCCCACCAGATGTAAGTAGAAACAAAATTATTTGCATTTTGCATATCTACTTCCTCTCAAGCGTTTCAAGGAAAAGAAAAACAAATTCGTCCCAACCTACTATTAAAATTAATTATCATCAATCATTAAAATTAGCCATGAATAATACTGGAACTTAGCTAACTTCTGTTGAAAATTAGTGCTTAATCCTTCAGCATTTTTTTACTATACAAATTTAAAGCATATGATAAAAATGAAATATATATATATATATAATCATATAATGTTATTACACATGGGCAGGCAAATGTATATAATATAGGTAATATAAATATTTGTTTTTTTAGAAGTAACAAAAGTGATACTTGAAATTCTATTAAGATAAATTAAATCTGTTCAGAGTTAAAACAAAAACAAAATAAAATGTTTATTTCGTTAATTACCTTGACATTCGTTTTCTGATACTTTTCCATAATCTGGCCAACACACACAACCTTTACCATTGTCATCACAGTCACCATTCTTACAGTTACAACCTAATTTAATAAAAACAATTATAAAATATTTCTGTTTCAATTATAATACTTAATGCTGATGAATTATTCTACCATTANTCTCTGCTAAAAGGAATTAATGAGTTATTTTTATTCATAATGGCTAGTCGAGGAGAAGAAGAAAATATCGAATTACACTGCTTAGGTTAATGTAATTTCGTTCTCCCACCACATTTACGCGTAATCCATCGCCAATTCCACCTGCAATCGCCACGTTTATAATCTACGGTATGTTTTGTCAATACGCATACCGTCATGTTGGGGGATTTCCACCAATTTTAATAAGAAGTAAGCAGTGTTTGATTTTTCTGCATTATATAAGAGATGCTATTTCATACTAACTACTAGGCATTACACGATAAATCTTTAGCTAAAATTCATGTCAAGGATGTATTTTGAATGAGTCATTAGAAATTGAGTTTTTAACAATTCTTGAAACGTTTTGGAGACAAATTTGTAAAACAAATATTGTATATAAATGAAACACAAAATTTAAAAATTATACTATTGTAAAATTTGTATATTTGTATACTTGTATTATATCTTTACACTGATATTTCAATAATTGAAAATAATTTTCTTCATTATAAGGAGCAGGAAATATTTAAATGTATAACTTCGTTGTTCTTCTCTTAATTAAATCTCCTGCTAATTGCTGAAAATAAAATGTGATGTATGAATGGAAAATAATTAAATATTAATAATTAAATAAAACTAATTAATGCATTTAATTATGTTTTGTAGTTACTGGAGATTGAAATTGGAAACAGCTCTTATTTTAAACACATTCGGCTTTTGCTTGAAGGAATCTCTGTCATTATCCTGATTGTACGAAATTCAAGCAATTATAATGAACAATAATTAGTTGAACTATTTTATAAATAGAAAATGTACACATATGTGTGTTATGCTCTAAAATCATTTTATTATTTCTTCCATTAGCCTTGTAGTAAGGCGTGACATGTCACTCCAAATAGTTGAAAGAGTATGTGGAATATTATGAATTTTTGCGAATTATTTCTTTAGCGTAAAACGCTGTAAATAAACAATAAAATGTATACATATAATTTTTATTTGTTTATCTTTCCTATCTTTTGACCTTCTAAAATATTATGATAGCTATTATTTTGGTAGTTTTTCATTCTTAAATTTATTTAAAGGCATTAAATTAATAATGAATTAATTAGTATTGAATTATGAAAATCTAGATAACTGCATATTTTCTCAAAGCTTACCTTCTACGTGACACCATCACATGTAAGCAAGAACAATATTATTTACATTTTACATATCTACTCCCACTCAAGCTTTTCAAGAAAAAGAAAAAGAAATTCGTCCATACCTATTATAAAAAATTAATAATCACCAATCATTAAAATTAGTCATCAATAATACTGGAACTTAGCTAACCTCTACTGAAAATTAGTGCTTAATCCCTCAAAAAAATTTTTACCATACAAATTTAAAGCATATGATAAAAATGAAAAAAATATAAACCATATAATGTTATTATATATGGGCAGGCAAATATATATAATCTAGGTAATATAAATGTTTTTTTAGACGTAACAAAAGTGATACTTAAAATGCTATTAAGATAAATTAAATCTGTTCAGAGTTAAAACAAAAGCAAAATAAAATGTTTGTTTTGTTAATTACCTTGACATTCGTTTTCTGATACTTTTCCATAATCTGGCCAACACACGCAACCTTTGTCATCACAGTCTCCGTTCTTACAATTACAACCTAATTTGATAAATACAATTATAAAATATTTTTGTTTCGATTATAATGCAAATAAATTCCAAGGCCATTAAGTAAGAAATGTTTTAGTTTTAGTTCATGCTATAATCGTAGTAGGATATGCGTAATAGGATATGTTACGCTTACAAGGCAATGCATGAACAGGATTAATATTCTGAGAAGTTTTATTATTGTAATTTGTGATTAAATTTTCTCGTAATATTACCATTCATGGGAGTTTCTTGCACTTTACAAATTCTAACTGGTAGTGAATATAAAACAAATTTAAGAACATTAATTTCAAGACATAAATAAAGTAAAAGGTTTGCCATGTTTTGAGTGTTAACTCTGATTAAGTCATATTTATATAAAATATCACCGTTTGATATTTTTTTCGGGTTGCACCATAGCATGCTTGTGATGTCTTCCGAATTCATTTGTTGTTTGTTTCGTTGCAATTTAAATTAAAAGAATGCGTTATATTACGTTAGATTATTTATTCTATGCTTACGCATTATGTTGTCAACCATTTTCGCTAACTTTGAGCCAAAGTCATTTTGGCATCTTTCAAATTTATTTCAGTACTAGCTGAATATCCGTTCTTTGCACTGGGTGAATAAAAAATAAGGAAAGAATCTATATATCAATACTAAGAAACAGTACGAAATAATGCTGAAAACTGAAAAGCATACACCGGCACAATAAAAGAGCTTGATGGACGAAGCAGGTAAGTGAAATTTTTAGGGGATTATTGAATCGGAGAAAATAACAAAAAAAGGTTGCATCAATATGGGTATGTTTAATGTAACAAAACTGATTTTGCCTTCACTTTAATCTTAATATTGTTATAAATCGAGCATGCTATCAGCGCGCCTCACGCTATTTTTGTTTATCGTGTAGAGTTGCACTTTCGTAATCTGGCAACTTCTCTTTCTTTGTATATTCCGAGTTTATTTTTTCTAATCGTTCTTTTCCTTTTTTGTTTCTAAGTTCATATTAAATACTATTTAAAATAGCTGTCACCTTTATTTTGCTAATATTTACAACAAATATAACTGATCACATCAGATTTTAGTATGCTTGCATGATTTTTATCTCGAATTGGGCAGTGATAAATAAAATAAGGCAAAGAATTACTTGTCTCACATATAAATAACTTAGTAATAATATAGTTCTAATACAACTTTATTTTCGTTCTGAAAATCCCACTTAACTGGTTCTTCCACCAAGTCATTATTATTTTTTCCCCTTTTCAATAGCTTTACGTTATTGAAGTAAGCAAAACTTGTTTTTTGTCGCTCATCCCAGTAAAATACAGATAAAACTTATTTAGCATCATTTGGCAGGATGCTATTGCTCACGGTCAACTAAAAATAGTCAAAATTTACCACTATCAAGTAATTTTCAGCTGTGCATATCCCTTTCAAGGGGCCATAAAACACTTGTTTCCAAAGTATCGGTAATAAAACTGCTTAGTATTGGTGCTATTATAATAATCGCCAAGTATATCAATGTAATATTTCATACCTACATTAGTATAATTGGTACTTTATTACATAAGCATTTCACATTTGAGCTTCGGGAAAAATAATTTGCCAGTTGCAGTCAGCTAAAGCCAAATATATTTTTTATGTATATATGTATTTTTAAAAAACAAAATAGAATTCTTATTATAACTTGCTAAGGATTTTGGATCCTAACAATTTCCCAATCTGCTCTTTAATTTACTGTTAAAATATTTATAAGTAGTGGTGGAACAGCGTTCTTTTAATTCCAATTCCTTCAAGTATTGATAAATTATCTTTGCTACCACTGAAAAAAATATTTTCTGAAACTACGGAAAAATCGTTGTAGAATTCTTATCAAAACTGTACAAATTACCCTAATACCGGAAGTACAAATTACCTTAATACCTAAATGATAAGTAAGCATCATTTGTGAATGGCAATTTTCTACGATTTTTCTAAACGAATTTTCTATTAAACTTTTCTTTTTAAACTTTCCTTTTTTAGCACATATCTTATTTTATTTTGTTTAAATTAATGCTTATTATCAATATTAATAAAGCATTATTGTCAATAATAATATGGAAGTTTTTGACGGCTCCTTAAATTGAATAAAGTCTCCCATATACTTTCTTCACAAATGTTGGTGAATCACATGTTTGGTTCGCATTTTGATTTAATATTACATTTATGTTTTAGTTTCATCAACTCATTAATTTTATAACAGATAAAAAGAGTTCTTTATAGCAGGTAAACGAAAGGAAAAATTCTTTTTATTTTATTTATTTATTTATTTGTTTTTGTGAGGTAGGACTTTGATTAGGCTCCAAAAACTAAGCTCAAACATGCGTTTCATTACAAACATATAAAAGTGACTTTTTGTTCCTTGCATCTTTTACATTTAATAAATTTCGACAGGCCCTAGCCAGTATTGATTATATAAAGCTTAGTAGTCTTTTCGTTTTTGAGAAAATGAGCCAGACTGTTTTATTAAAAATCTCAATATCGAAATAATTTGCAGGTTTTATACGACTTATATCTTTTTTTAAAAAAAAATATGAAATAGGAAAAACAATGCTACCAACAATATTTACTTTAGTGCTTTGGAAGTAAAAGCTGGTTTTAATTTATTTATTTATTGTTATATCAATTTATTTTTTATTATTCTTTTGGCCAATAACTTTTATATCAATTCACATAAAAGGATAGGTTTCACATGGGCCTTAGAAGCAACTAATATTTTTAAAAACATTGACACTTACTTGCTTTCAAGCTATAATTCAGCTGTTTATCTAGATCTTCATGTCCAAATATGTAATCTCGTTTATTAATCTTTAAAAATTTATCATTTTGAGATTCTGCCAAGTAGCATACAAAAAATAGCAGAAAAGCAGTGTAAAACACACAATGGAATTTTTTCTTCATTTTTTGTAAAAAAGGAATATTTTTTAAGCTTTGATTAAATAAAGGAGCTCATTGGCTTTTGAAAACTGAAAATAAGATATCAGCACTTTCCCAGTTTCTTAAACACGCAAACCAATTTTTTAACAAAGAATTTTGTAATGAACTGGTATAAAACGAAACAGCCGAAGCATTAGCTCAATAACTTTTTTTATCTGAACTAAGTTTACTTTTCTAACGTCTTATTTTTTATCAACGTGTTTTTTTAATATCAGTATCTGTCGATTAAGTATTTATCCTTGAAATAAGACTAACATTTAACTCACTTATTATATGGCGATTTCGTTGTGTGTAAGAAACAATATGTTTGAAAATTAAATTTATCTACTAAAATATTAATTACTGAATATAATTTATATATGACTTAATATAATTAAATATAATTTTCATCTCTTAGAATATTTGTATTTAAATTTTGTAGGAATATGCGAAAAATACGTCAAATGATTAAACAAAATCTAGGGTAAAGCAACCAGTGAAGGAACACACCCCAGTGAAAGAACATTTCATAAACATTTTTTAAAATTAAGATTATAAACGTTTTTACTTAGATTGATTGGTAACAGTAGATCACTACCTAACAATAGGAAGTCATGTAATCATGCATTGGATTGCCTGGTCATATTGTCTTCTCTAGAAAAATTTTTGAATTTGTTAGTATCTGTTCAGCATCTGTTCAGCACAATGAAAAAATTATAAGAACAGTTATTGTATTTATCCGTTTAAAGTACAATTATTTGCATACAATAGTTTTACTTTTCTCACTGTAAAAAAGAGAATGTAAAATTTGTGTATTAAAGTTACGTTTTATTTATTATAAGCATCATAGCATAAGCAAGTACTGAGATTAGGGAATGTTTATTAACTGGATTACCAAACGATGAAAAACCAATGAATGAACAAGTGTCTCTTTACTGAGATTTTTCCAAGTTAATAAAAATTTTAATTTTCTTGTACCTTCAATCGTATTATACATCAAAATTCTGTTAGAAATACAAAAAACAACTTCTAACCAGTGAAGGAACAGGCATGTTCTTTCACTGGTAATAGATTTCACACTGAATGAACAGTATGTGTGAATTATGATTTTACTTGGCTCTAAGATATTTAGTAGTTTTACGATGTAGAGGTTACCTGAAATTGTGTTAAATGTTGCATGAATAATCCCTGATGTAATTTCATTTCAAAATGATAATTTAAAAGCTAAATTTATGAAAATGATTATAATGATAATTTGCTCATAATTTATCTTTATAAATGCAGCGATTAGTTACATCATACGTTAGAGACAGCTTTATAAAATATGTTTACTAATCGAAAACTAAATAAATATAATAATGAAAACTTGAATCGAACATTTCTCTTCGGTCTCTTGCGCAAATAATTAGCTAAATTATTTTCCTAATGTGGTCTTTCACGTCTTGACGGAAACGGATAGAAAACATCAATTTAAAGACAATCATGCAGGGTGGAAATGGGTGAAACTTTTTTTAAGACGACATCCGCTGATAACTCAGCGCAATGCGAAGATAATTTCAAAAGACAAAACCTGCCTTACAGAGAAAAATATTCGAGAGTGGTTTAAGGAACTTTAGATAAATCTTGAAGAGGAAAGCAACCCTGGCATCATTTAAAGAAAGTGATCTCATCAATAATGCAAACGAAACAGGAGTTGAAAACAGGCCCAAACATTTATAAGGATTTATACTTTGCAGTTCATAGGAAAGAAAAAGAAAGAACAGCAGTTGTAGGCAAGATGTCAGCTAGTGAAAAAAAAGCATTTCCAAAGGTAGTTTTCCTTAGTGAAAAATTCCTGGAGGTATTGCAAAATTAGCTAATGCTATATATTCCATTTGAAAAAGTGATTCATGAAGTGAATCAATGACGGCAGCAACATTTTACGAATATATTGCAAATGCTTTTTTCTACCCAATGCTAATTGAAAATACTATGAAATTCCTTACTTTACTTTTTTCTGAATGGGGGTGAATCTCATATCAATTTGAGAATGATCAAGTTTGGTTCATCAAAACAAATTCTCTGGTTTCACTATCTACCTAATTCTACAAGCGTACTTCAGCTTTGTGATGTGGGCGTATTTCGAGCTTTGAATGCTTCATGGAAATCTTACGTTAGATCTTGAAAACACAAAAGTTGTAAAGCAATATGTGGAGGGAATTTTTCATCCATTTTTAAATGAACTTTTGATGCATCAACTGATGAAATTAAAATTTAAAATGCTCTTAAGAAATGTGGTATTTTTCCATTTGACACTAATAAGGTTAATGAGCAAGAAAGCTCTAGATATAAGTCAATGAGAGACGGATTTTCCTCAAACTCCGAAACACCTTTTCTCATCAATTATTCAGTGAGAAATTCTAGAAATAGTTCTGGAAAATCAGAAGAAATTACGAAGATGTATTTACATTCGCCAAATATTAGATCAAATCAAAATAAAAATAAAAAATAAATTACCTCTTGCATTAACTTCAGAAAAAGGACAAAATTTTAAAGAGACTGAAAGAGCTGAAGAAAAGTTAAAGCAAGGGAGTATGAAACGAACAAGAAATACTTAGAAAGATAAAAAAAAAATTTAAAATAATATGGGGGAAAAGATTAAACAAAAACGCGATAAAATAATAATAATAAAACATCATCGGATTTTACAATGATAAACAATAATGATTTAGAATCGACTATCCAACTGTGAGAAAGAAAATTTTAAAAAAAATATTCTGTATTCAACCCCATTTTACTTTCCATTTCATGACTGAAAAAAAAGGATAATTTTCCACTTTAAAGAGGGGACATGTTATAATTCCAATAAAAATCTTATTTTTAGACATTTGTATGGCCTATGAATTTCTAAAGAGCATAAAATCTCAAAATTAAGTGTTCATTCACTGGAAAATTTAGTGTTAATTCACTGGTAAGAACTGTATCTTCACATGGTTATCTTACTACTTATTATTTGAACCACCAAAAACTTAAAACAATATTATCTAAGTTCTCTAATTTTTTTTACGTAATTTACATTTAATAAAAAATATGTTGGCACTATCATTTAGCTAAAATTAAAATTTTTAAAATTTTTATGATTTTTTTAAATGCAAGATAAGCTTAAGCGTTACTTCACCGGTTAATTTTCCCTATATAATACAAATTTACATTTGGTCTCAGTTTTGAAACGGATAAATGAAATAAATTTTCAAAATCTAGAAAAAATATGACGTTTACTGTTTTATCCACATCTCATTTCAAACAATTTTAAGAACTTCGCCCCTTAACTTTATCCATCATAATAAATGCGCTTATAATTTTAAACTAAGGATAAAACATCAAACAATGCTTGATTTGTTAAAAAAGTTAAGTTTTTTTTTTCGAAAACAATAAAATATGCGTCCTTTTTTTTAAAAAAAAAAATCAATAAAAAATTTAAATAATTTTTGAAATGCATGCATTTTTTAGATTAAGTGTTAATATATTTTTGATAAAATGTTTAAAAAAATTAGATTTTAACTTTTAAATTCTTTACAAAGGAAGTAAGCCAAAATATGCGTAACTATACAAAAAATAACTACCGACCTACGACCTAGCTTCTGCTCCCTCCTAGGAGCATGAGTACAAATTGCAACAAAATGTTTCCCATTCATGGGTGGTAAAAGTAGCTCCTTTCCCTGACTAAGTGGGGGATGAGTTTCGGAAACGCCATAGTAAGTGAAGAATTTTCTCATCTTACTAGCCGTTACTAAGAGGTTAATACGTAGAAATTATGTATTACTATATACAGTGTATGCAATGCATTATATATTAGTTAAAATTGATTAATATATAAAATTTTACACATAATAGTATGATAATTTTGCGTATGGTATTACATAATACATAAATAAAATTATGTATTTATTGAATTATCTTATATGTCTAACTACCTGTTGTTTATTTACAGCAAAAAGTGTGGAAAAAACCAGTTTATATGGCATGTTTATTTTCGAAAAATTAATTTGAAACTTACTGAAAACTGAACACTCTTATTGTAATGACGTGGTTCGGTACGAACATCAGAATAGTATGCAATTATCTCACATATCTAACTATCTGTGGTTTATTGACAGTGGATTAGACAAAAGGTGTGGGGGAAAAACAGTTTATACGGCATTTTTATTTTCGAAAAATTAATTAGAAATTTACGAAAACTAAATACTTTTAATGTAACGACGTGGTTTGGTACATACATTTGAATAGTATGTAAATGAATCAATTTAAAACACATAAAAAAACTGAAAATGATTATGGTTTTAGTTTACACAATATACTGTTTTCTTATGCTTAATACATTTTCTTCTACTGTTTATCTATTGCTATTTCTACTACTGTTTTTATTTGAGAATTGTTTTACCTTAAATTATTCGATAATAAACTTCGCGATTTAAAAATAAAATTTTTCATGTCAGTTAACAAAAAAATTATATACGTATATTCATATATATTTGGAAAAAAATATACTTTAATTAGAAATGTGGTAAATGGGTTTAAGATTTTTAATTATATTTTTGTGACATAATTTCTAGCAATTTATTCAAATTAAATTTTCAAATTAATTTACAGAAATTCATTAGTTATGCATTAATGTGCACTTTTAAACATACACAAATTTCATCGATTTCCAGTTTTCCTAAATAAGAGAAACTTGCATTATTAATCGTTAGACAGAATACTTAATTAATGAAATATTATTTAGTAAATGTAAATAACAATCCAAAGAATTCTTAATAAAATGATTAGTTAGAAATTTCAGCAAGGCCCTCATCTATTTGAGTTACATTTATACACTACGAAGACGCAAATAACTTGAATGCTGCTATTGTGTTCATCAAAAAAGCAAATTTCTCTAACTGGTGTTGGAAATAAAATTTTCATATTTTCTGTGTAATATAAAGCAATACTCTAACTATATTGATAATAATCTAAGTGTCACAAATATTACAGAATGCTTGAAAAGACAAATAAAAATATCGGAAGGAGATAAAAATGGACCATTTGCTGCCTTCTATTTAGGAAACCAGTTAAATAATTCTCTCCAACTCAAAATTAATAATGAAATACATCATCCGATTACATA